ACTCTTGACTTTCTGACCCAGTGTTCACATGTAGTAATTGAAAATGTGTATTAAATGGTACATACATATCATTTAGTAAGTACAGTCGTAAGTATTACAATTTCAAGAAAGCGCTGACTACATTTTGCAAAAACAAACCTTTGTTACAGTACAATCACATGACCGTCTACCTGGAGCAAAACACAATGTTCTTAATGGGGATGGTGCAATACCACTTTTCATGGCTGATTGCAATATTGCAACTTGGAGCATGACCCGATACGGGTATCAATTGAATACCTTTTTTTCTCCTCCAGCATGCCGTGAGCTGCCACTGCTGAGGTGATAAAGTTACGTTCAGCATTTTGGCTTTAGGTATTGGAATGTCGATATAACTATATGGCTATAGTTGTTTTCTTCAAAGTTTTGTCCTATATCTGACCAATAATGAACCTCAATATTGGATCGAGCCATCCCTAGTTCTTAATATACTGTAAAAAAACATGGATAACCGTTAGGGTCTACATGAAAAAAAATGTAATGTTTGATCACATCTTTACAAAAATTGTATTTTATAGATATAAGAGCAGGAAATCGCTGTGGAGAGTGACGATAGTCTTTAACAAGGTTACTGAGGATAAAAAAAAATTAATAGAGATTTGTAATAAACCTCTTTGGGTTGCACCACCCTAAAGTTTATTTTATCCTCAAACAAAGTTCAATACCTTAAGAAATGACCTTTGACCTTACCTCTCAATTGCCTCTGTCTTTCACAATTGACCTGTTTTTTGTCCAGGTAATTATGAAGATGGACTAAAGTCAAAAAAACAAATTTCTTTACTCCAAAAACTTGACTTGTTCATGGCATGGACTGGGCCACAACACCTGCATCAATTTCACACTGTGTGCCCAGTGACTCATTTCCTCCCAGACCTGACCAGACCAGATACGTTCTTTTTTCCCCCTGCTGCTTCAATTTTACTCCACGGAAATGTCAAATCTGACACCTGTCCAGTCAGTCCCAGTCTCTACAGGCCACAGGAGAAAAATCTTCCCTTTTCTGGACTGTACAGGAGATTGATGTACATTGGTATGACTCTTGGGCTGCAGGTTTCATTTTAATCAGTCTGCATTGTGGTCTCAGACTGAAATTGTTTAACAATTGTTTGAAATTGTTTAACAGAGAGAGAGGTGAGGGGGAAAAAAATGTTGGAAAGTAATGAGGTGAGATTTCCAATATGTGCAAACACTTTGAGTTTAAAATTGAAGGACAAAGGCACATGAAATTGTTGAGAAAATAAGCAATTCTATGACACTTATATAACAGTAAGGGTAAAACCAAGCTTTATGTGACTGATAGTTTACAGAGTAACGTAAAAATGTCTATGTTTTTTATGTTTATTTTTACTATGTAATCCTCTTTAACAACAGTCTACTAACTGGGAAACCTAATGTGCTTACTCTACTTTCTACCATTTAAATTAGGAAAAAAATTGATTTTTCTCAACACAAGATTATCTAATCACAGATTTGAGTTCACCGACAGATGCAGAAAATGGATAAGACACTTCTGCAAGCTAGGCTAGCCGTTCAGCTGAAAAAGCTAATGAAAAATCTCCATGTAACTCTCTGTTGTTTCACAATTTAACACACTAATGTGTATAAAATGTAAAATAACAAAAATCTTATTAGATTAAAATGAATATTTAAACTAAAGGAACAAACTGTTTGAACAAATTTTCCAGGTGCAAAAAAAGCATCATCAGACAAATGTCTTTTCACCGTACATCAACATTTTTTTATATACACTTCTAAAAAGACAAATGTATTTATCCTCCAGTAAATCCGCTTAAATCCACAAACACATTTTCCCTCCCACACGCTGCATGTACGTAATCATGGATACACGCCCACATTAAAATTCTTTATCTACGCACACACGCATGCCTGTACGCACACGCACACAAACAAACCTGCCTCTACACCACGGGGGATCTGTTCTCAGTGAGCATGTGTGCCCATGTAAATACAAAGTCTGATGGATGTGGGGAGAGGAATCAGAGAAAATGAAGATGGGGTGGGCTGGGGATGTTACATCAACCCCCTGATGTTTTATCTAGAACTGGGAGCTGTCAGTCACGCTCTCACATCAAGGCTAAAGAGGACTTTCTTACAGCAGGAAAAAGAGAGGGGGAAAAAAAGAGTCAGCTTTTTGATAACTTATTGTTAACTTATTCACTCGTTCATTTCTCCTGTCTATGCTCGTCAGTGCGTTACCAGCTCACAGTCATGTACAGTTGGAACACATGTGTGGTGTATAAATGTAAGAACCCCCACCAGCAAGTTTAAAGGAGTCAGTTTTCATAGTGGACCTCTGGAGGGGAAAAGTCCGGTCTAAAATCAAAGTTGATCAATAAAGCCAATTAAAAATTATCTCAGTAAACCAAAGATACAAACTCTTATTCAACAATAATTCAGGCTAAGGTACGTACAGTACAAACTACCATGGGGCTTCAAGATACGATATATACATTCACTACATCTGAGTTACTACAACATGGAAATGACAAATCAAAAACTTGACACTGAAGACGTGTGGTTAGACTATTCAAAAATCACTTGTATGTGGACATGCTAATATTTGCTAAACTTTATTTGATATGTTTTGGATTCAAAAGTTTGATTGATTTACGGTTTCCTGTCTTTTATGTTGATTTATTTTATGTTTTAAAAAAAGCAGGCACTACCTTCTTTTAATCAATGGCAAAAGTGCGATCTAAATTTGCATTCTTCTGGGTAACGTTGCAAGAACTTCAGAGGTATGACTTCACACATGAAGCTAAATAATAGTTATTCATCTAACCAAACTGCAAAACAAACCAAGAATTAAGCACAATTTTGCAAAAGAGATATTAGTTAATAATTGTTGCAAATAACTGTGTAAACACCCTGCATAAAAAAAAAACCTATCTAAGTATTAGCATTACCATTAGCCCCATTTAAATCCCATATCTGTCCAACCCTAAGTATTAGCATTACCATTCGCCCCATTTAAATCCCATATCTGTCCAAAGCTAGTGCCAAAAATGAACTGATAAATACACTAAAATACGTAGTACAGTAGGTATAGCAGTTACTTCTGGTATCAACTGTCATGTCACGTAGGTATTTAAGTTCTGAAGATTGACTGAAGCTCAAACATGGCGTTTCTGTGATGGTTTGGGTCCAGTGTTTTCCCTAGTGGCCTGCTTTACATGTTGGCTAATGAACTAGCAACATAACACACGTTTTGAGTTGACTGCAAAATCTAAATGGTCAAAAGTCAGTATGAAAATATTAAATTTGTTGAAGGGATTTTTTCTGCTGAGCTAAAAACTTGGTTCAGTTAAACTGAAAACAAGCTACACACATTTTACTGACTTCCAAAAAGTGGAGCAGCTGCTAACTGCTACTCACTACTTACTAAATGACCTAAAGCTGTGATTTCGGATATAGATTTATCCCCAAATCCTAAACTTCTACTACTTTTAAACAAATAAATACATGAAAACGACAACTATAGAAGAACGTGTGTTTTCTGCTGACTTACCCCTGGAGGACTGCTACACACTGACTGAGACTCAAGGCCTCAGCCTCAGCCGCTGCCACCTTCTAGAAAGCAGTTCTCTCCTAGTTTACGTCTCACTCTTTAATTCTAACACCGACTGCGATCCTAAATTCAAGTCTGTCACCTGCAGCGACTGATCTGGGGCCTGCATTGGGGTGCATTTCATTTACGTCTCGTTGATTTGGGTTCAAACGTACATTTCATTTGAAAGTGTTTTCTTTCTAAAGATTCTGAAGACTATTGCTAAAAGCCCAAATGAGGAAATGAAATGAGTAAAAGACGAGCGGAAGAGAACGAGGAGGAAATAATTCAGGCTTTTTAAATCCGTGAAAAGCTCAGCTCAGTTTTTCTATCATGGTCTGCACGGTTCCAACCTTTTGGCCTCGTGCGCCCCCTATGTCTCAGAAAAAATGCTGCTTCTACTCAGTCGACCGGATTTTTCCCCTCCTATTTCACTCTTTTCAAATAACCATCGTTAGAAATGATCTATGATTAAGATGTTTATCAAAAATAAATTGTAAATAGAAATTATATAAGAATATAGAATAATTATTATTAAGAAAATTATTATTATTGTAAATTATCATTATTTATCACTGTAAAAATAGAGTAAATAAAAGTTGATAAAGTTTCATATTCATTTGTTTACCAGCTACAAATCAGCAGTGTCACTGCTTGACATTCTAATGACATTCTGAATATAATAGAAATAAACAATACAATATCTGCAATTCTCAATTATATGACGGAAAAAGGCAAATAAACTGGTTGCTGTTTTGATGCATTGATTTTAGTTAGTTGCTGGATATCACATACTTATTGTTGTTACATATTATATTACCTTATTGTTAATAATGCAATATTTAGCATGATGTCACAAGTACTGGAGCTAGTACCTCTTAGACGTGTTCGTTGTTTTATTTTCTTTATGTTAATTTTTGTAATTTTAATTGTATTTTATATTTTTCATGCCCGTCACTATTAGGGGTTTATAAATAATAGATAGTTTTCACCGCCTTCTTACAGCTGTGTATGTAATTTGAATGTGTAGTAGTTTTTAGTTTTTACATAGGGTGGTGAACGGTACTTGATATCCACTGCAAATATAATGTGTTAGTACTATACATATTGATGTAGTCTACATGTTTTACTCTCTACTGCAACTATCACTGTTAACGTTATTATTATAACTACTACAACTGCTGCTTCTACTGCTTGTCCTTGACTCTGTCGTGTTCCTCTTTGGGCTGCTGTTATACTACACGTTATTTCCCCCCATTTGGATCATTGAAAGATTACAAACCTAACCTTGATCTGTCTTTTCACGTCAACTCCTTCCTTCTCCTATTTGTGCACCTCCTATGAACACTAGTCACATCTCCTGTGCCCAGATCAACGACTGTATTTCACTCACCGCTCAAGTTCCACAGGGGTTCAAACCCCGCAATTCCTTGAGTTTGGTTAGTCATGGTGCATGGTTCAGCGGCAGGAGCGACAGCAGGAGCAGCAGCAGCAGGAGCGGTGGCAGCAGCAGTGGCAGTGAAAGACCCGAGGCTCCTTTACTCCCCTGCGGCTTTTTTCTCCTTCACTTTCCAACTTTTCCCAGCAGCAGGAGCAGTGGGACCAGTTTCCCTCCCCGTGTGTAGTTTCTCCTCCTCCACGGATGAGGAGCAAATGTCGGGGAAAGGATGATTCCTTTTCTCTCCTAATTTCTCATCCGTTTCCCCACTTGTTATTTACCATTTTTTCCTAATCGATGTTTCCATGAATGGGGTCAGTTTGGCCAGCTCAGTGTCGAGAGTGCGTTTTCTCCTGTGCACCTACGGAGCGCGCTCCTCTGATCCAACCTCCGCTTCAGTCAGACGGAGCGCAACACAGGAGCGCACCAGAAGACACACACACACACACGATGCAAGAGGGAGAGAGACGAGGAGAGGGAGAGGGGGAGAGAGAAAGAGAGAGAAAGCGGGAGATGGGTAAAGCAGAAGAGGGGTGGAGGAGAAAGGTTCTGGTAAAAGAGCGAGGAAGGTTGAGCGAGAAAGAAAGGTGACAGAAAGAGGGAAAGAAAGTGAGGGATAAAGAATGGCAGAGAGGAATAAGGGAGGAATGTGATGAAGAAAAGAGACAGGAATGGGATGGTTGTATAAAAGGACGGGTGAGAGGGTGAGAGAGAGGGGTATATAAGGGAGATAAGGAGTTGGGGAGAAAGAATGTTAACAAGAAGATGAGAGGAAAATCAGGAAGCGGAGGAAAATAGAGAGGAATGGGTGATGTATTCAAAGATGGGAGAGAGGAGTAATTGAAAAAATGGAAAAGGGTGAGGAGAAAAACACAGAAGAAGACAAAAGGAGGATGGAGACAGGAGACATGAAAGAGATCAAAGGGGGAAGAAAAGTTGGAGAAGGGTGAAAGAGAATAAGAGAGGAATGTGCTAGGAGAGTCAAGAGAGAGGGAGAAAAAAAGCGTAGATTGAGGAGAGATAGAGAGTGAAAAAGAAGATGGGAGGAAATGGAAAAATAAGAGACACAAGGAGAGAAAGAAAGAACTAGAAGTGACAGCGAGAGAGAGAGAAAGGGGGGGGTGAGAGGGAGAGATGGAAATGGCAGAGAAAAGGTGGAAGGATTCTGGGGAGAGTTGTGAAAACAGAGAGAAAGAGAGACAGGTGAGAGGTGAGAGAGGAAGATCCAGGTTGGAGCAGTGACTTTGTTGAACAGATTACTCCTGGTTCAACCAGCTGCTTACTGCATTAACACTGATCCACAAACAGTCTTCCTGAAGTCATGATCATCTAGAATACTATAGTTTTATTACTTACTTTTTGCAAACCTTGTTTAATTAAAAAGAAACGGCTTACCAATATTTGGTCAAATTTGTTGTTTCTTTGGCTAGTATTTTTATCAGAAGAAACATTAATTTTTACTTTCTTTACTAGGTTTCAGCAAAAGTTTAGTTTAGCAATTTTGGGCAAACATTAGCCATTTATCAGTAATGTTTAACTCATGTGTGATATATAAATATATTTTCTTTTTTAGATGTTTTCTAAAATATTAGAGTATAAGATTTATCTTTGTATTTCTCTTTATAGTGGCAGGTTGCAGTCCTTTTCCAGTCTTTTTAGATGCACCATGCTCTGGACATTGTCACGACCGTACCATCTTCCTCTCTTCTGTTGAGACACACGTGTACCTTGTGTAAACCAGACTAAAGTCCTGTCCCTGGTCACGTCTTCTCTCTTAACTGGAGATATAATCACAGTCACTCTTCAGTCCCAGAGGCGCTTGACTTTTCTGAACCCTGTCCAGGGCTGACGCTTGTTTCTCGTACACGGACTCTTGTCCACTTAAACTGCCGACTACTCTTCTCCTCATGTGTGCTGCCTCATTGTTGCCTAGCAACCCACCCTGGGTGTCCACAGTGACCTGCTGCTAGCTTCACTGAGGAGTCACTCCTCCTGAGCTGTGTAACACAGGAGGGAGGGAGTCTGCCAAAATATTAAAAGGAGGGTGGTCCATCCAATCCTGCTGCAGTATAGATGCCTCCTATTATCACATGATGATAGAACTGTCCTATCAATACTAATGAATTCACAGGGTCACTTCCTGTTAATGGAAACAATTTTGTAAATTATAATATTTTTCTTCTTATCATTCATTCTCATTCTCAGCTTTTCTCTTGGTCGAGCAGCTTCCATTGACGTGTACTTGAGTTTTTTTATCCAATCATATTTCAGCTTCATTTGTTGCCAAGGTGAAATAAATCTTCCCTGAGGTCTACAGAATCAGTAGCGCTGGCGCTGGGAGAATAAAATGAATGGGAATGAGATTGTTTCTTTAACCAATCACATTTTGAGTTGGCAACACCAGGGTCTTCTTGTAGGCCTACGGTTACGGTGGCGATTTGAGTGATTTGATGATCAAAAAACACACTGTCTTGAATTTAATAAACTGCATTTTGCAACGGGGATGCTCAAAAATGCATCGAGCGGACATTCACAACCTAAAGTGATTTAAAACTTATGTGACAAATACAACAGGACAGACTGGACTTAGAAGAGATGGCGATAGAAAAGGAGTCGTTTTTAGAACTGGAATGCACAGATCTGTATAACAGAGTCATTGAACTATTAGGGAAAAATAAGAGGATTGACATTGTGTACAAATAATTAGAAGTTTTGGTGAGTAAAATGCATTTTGTCTTTTTAATAATATTGTAATTGTGGATTAATAGATACACAGATGGTAGCAGCATTTAATAATAATGATAGTAGTAAAAATGATATAGTAAAATAATAACAATATCTAATAGCAGGACATAGTACTAATGGTAGCAGGTGTTTTTGATGTACTTTTTGATGTACATTATCTCTCAGCAGTGGCTAAATTGTGCTTCATGGGTTTGTTGCTTCAGTAATGGCGTTATTATGGCTACATGAGTCATTAAGGAAATAAAGACTTGTTACACTACATTATTGCAGAATATTGATGGTTTTTATAGCCATAATGACATTATTTGTTGTGGATTTGTTCAGGCAGGTCGCCACTAAGGGCCTAGGTGAGAAATACACGTTACGCCACTGAATAAAAGTCTAGCACTGCAATAACAGTGAACTTTCCTTGAGATCAGATCGTCGCCATGGTGACAAATTGCAAATAAGACAAATAAGGAACACGAAGCAAAAGCAGAGCTGCAAACAGGCACATTTCCTCAACGACACAAGGTCCATCACATACAACAGTTGATGAACTTCATATATCACCATGATTCCCCAGGCTATGCCTGATGCCATATAATTCAGGACAATTGGCCCCCGATCACAGGGAATCTGGCTGCATTCAATCGAGCTGTCAAGAACGTTAAACATGGGAGTAATAACTGACACACACATTGGCTACATTATCTTAGGCCTCACCCACTCACATGACATCAGAAGCATATGACAGAAGTCCTGTCTCAGTCAGGTTCATAGCATCACTTAGGCTTTTAATAAGACATACTTAAGGTCTTTGCTTAAGTTTTCACAGCATGTGAAGTGTGGAACTAAGGGTGAACTGGATCAACCAGGATCAACCAGCCTTCAGATCCTTACATCTCTATATAGAGAGGGTGAGATCTATAGACACTATTTACAACAAGATAAAAAAAGTATTACAGAGCAGACATCAGTACATTTTAGTTCATTCATTTCAGTAATGTCACACTGTCCTTCAGCACCAAGAAAACAGAGAATCCTCTCCCAGGAAGCTCTCTGTCAATTCCAGCTCCACCTTCATCCTAGTCCTAATCAGGAAGCTCCCCTGCCTTCACACTTCTGCAGCTGGGGCTTTATTTCTCTCATGTAAACACCCCACCCTACCCCCTTTCTATCCTCTACATGCGCACTCATTTTAGGCTCTCCAAAGACTGCACGCTGAGTCCACTGCTGTACCTACTTTATAGATAAGTACTGTAAAGTGATCAGCCTTACCTCAGGAGGGGGGGTGTCTGCATACAGTACTTGGATGAGGTTCATTCACCCCTCCTCACAATAAAAAAACTATGTGGAATTCCCACAGTTGTGAATTTCTTGGGATCCTCATTTCTGAAAACCTTTCCTGGTCATTGAATAGAGTTATAGCATGGTGGTGACATCATAATTATAATCTAGGACATTAAAAACATCAGAAGAGTCTGACTTTGCGAGCCATAATGAAGGTCAAAAAGGCCACGGGACAACGTATTTGTTGGCTTTGCCTGCCAACTAGTTCACATTGTCGTTTCAGTGCCGTATGTCGGATTGATGGAACAAGACTTTTTAAAATATATTCATGGTCGATGGCGGGGTAACCTCAAAACGCCGTAGGGCAAGGATGTCGTAAACTGAGGACCTCCTGTAAACCCTGAAACTAGATTTGAATGTTTTCTCCGTGACTTGAATTTGGATTTAACACACAGACTTTCTCTGAATACTTAAAACCCTGACTAAAACCTTTACAAACTGAATATATCTATTTCTGAGTTGCATGTGTACAGATCATGAAAATCCACATAGTCTAGCTGAGGATACAAATGAATCAATAGCCATGGTGCTACATAAGTATAGCTCATGAGATATTTTTACACATTTCCTGCCAAAATGTTGTTTGTGCTGATTCTATCATATGTTATTCAGCAACTGTAAATGTAATTTCCCAGAGAGGATTCTTTTCTATGGTAATCCACAACCAGTAGCTGTGTTGGCTCTTATCAGAGCAGGATGCAAAAAGCTGCTATAGTAAGTGATAAAGCGATGTGAATGGCAGTCACATGATTGGTCCCATACAATGGTCACCACCGTCAATCATAGGACTATGATTATCCCACATTATCAGCAGTTCTAATTAGCCAATAATATGACAAACTAAGAAATTTGAAAAATACAGACAGTAAGTAAAACTAAAGCTCAAAATTTGGAAGAGGTTGCCTTTTGAAATTAAGTGAATCCAGAAATGAAAAAAAAAATAGTACAGGCTAAAAGGTTCTGCATTTAAATGGAAAATGCTGACGATGCGAATGGTCAATGTGCTTGCCTTACAGGAAGAAGGACAATTGTTCCATCGCCAGCTCTAACTGTTGGTCTCGCTGTATGTGAGTTGAGGTGTTCTCCTTGTGCGTTGTGCTTTTTTAGACACCATGGTATCCTCCCACGATCCAAATCAAGCATTATCACTTTACGTGTTCAGTATTAAATAACAATGATGAGAAAACCTTGCCTTTTTGTTGCCTTGGATTCATTTTTAGATTGTTGATGTACCTTCACGATAGCAACTCTGCGAATCGCCACATTTTCCACCTCACTGTCATACACACACACACACACACACACGTTCTGTCTGGGGGCTCTAAATGTTACACAACCATCGATGCCAAGTATTTCTACAAACAATCTCCTCTGGACGTCGCTGGCCTCTGTCCTCAGGTTGCCCACTCCAGGAGATCACATACCGGCCTCGGGGCAAACACAGAGGCTTTGGTATTCTTTTTATGTTTCATTTATTTTTGAAGGAACAGTCCAAGAACAACTGTACAAGTCTAATAAAATCAAAAGAGTGTGTCGACCTGCTGGAGGCAGTGATCTTATACACACACACACACACACACAAAACCCATCACGTGTCATCATAGGCTGAAGTGGGCTGGTTTTGGCTCGGGCCATTATCCTCTTATACAACCCACTACAGCACAAAGAGTGTCCTCAGGTGTGTGTGTGTACAGTACGTGTGTGTTTGTGCACTTTTGCATGTTTTTGTCCTCCCTTTTCAGACTATTTCCAGCATAAACACTGACCTTGTCAGGATGGAGATGTACTCACATCAAGGCTAAAACCCCTGGTTTCAGAATGTGAGCTCCAAGCTTTGGACTGGTTTAGGTCAGGATGAAACTGGGATTGTAGGTCAAATGAAGGATATGCAGTTTTATTACTTTGGGAGACCACAGTGACCGATGCTGACCCTCGGGTTCAGATTGAGTCATCCCTAGTAGAAACTGTGCACTTGCCAGTCCGAAGTATACAGAAGTCAACAAAACTAGAGAAAAGACGTACGCTTGAAATTATGGTCATAGTAGAGGTAAAGAAGGTAAACACCAAAACAGTGCTGGGCAAGGATTACCATTTTTACTTAATCATGCATCATGTGCAAATGAAATAAATTCAACAAGCGTATTGCACACATTTTATTTCAATATACTATGCCTAATTATTAAACAGCTGAGTGGTGTCATCTTTTCTTAATTTAACATAATGTAGTTAGAGAAATTCTTCACTGCGTGCTGCAAATAGAGACAGGAATGCTGGGAGAGGGAAAAGAACATCTCTGTGAGAACACCACAGAGATGTTTCATAGTGTAGTAGTTATAATATACAAGCAGAAGGTCCTGGTAAAGGAAAGTGAACTCCTCGTCACTGTGACACAGCTCACCACTGCACACAACCAAATGTGACCTCTTCTTTTGACCCATCACCAAAGTGAACAGTGGGCAGCTTTAAGGACCAGGGAGCAGTGTGTGAGGACGGTGCCATGATCAGAGCACCTCAGTGGTAACTTGGCAGATGGTGGACTCAAATCTGAACCCTTCCAGAGTCAAGTCCGCCTCCTTAACCAGTAAGCAACCACTGCCCTGTAAAACAACACTTTAAATTGTTGGACTTAATTGTTTTTATTTTTTAAAGACAATCACATATCTGGGTTAGGGTCTGTATCTAAATGTATCTAAATAAAAGTATCACATTCTTTAACAAATTGTTTTGAACTTAATGTAAAAATGTGTGTAAAGTTCAGACACTCATTAGAAAGGAAGTGAAATGTTGTTACACTGTTGATGATTTGTTACGGGGAACTGACTTCTACCAGCTCAAAATAGCAGCAACAGTTGTCCCTGTTACAGTTAATAGTTGTGTTTTAGCCTACATATGGAAATAATACCACAAATATTCATGCACTTGAGGATAAGTCCACAGACGAAGTCACATATAGGCTAATGAGCAAATCACCTTATTCTTCCTGTTTCTGAAAAACTAGGCCAAAGATGAAAGTACTTTACTGAACAGGTTACCAGGTTACACCTTAATCAAAAGTTAGGATTAGGTGTCAGGTTTAGTATCAGCGTTCTGAGTTACGATGTCAGTCAAGAATGGCTGAGCAACACCACTGTGTTTGAGAGAGAGCGGGGCCGTGCAGGGACCCACATTACTCATGTGCTTATGCGCCATTCTAAGTCATTTCTAAAATTGTACACCAATAAAGCAGCACTCCAGCTCAGTCAGCTCCCACCTCATCTCTGTCAGCAGGGCCGCTCAGCTGAAGGAGTGTGTGAGTGTGGGACACACACATAATCACACACAAACACATACATAGACAATGAACTATAATTATCCTTATAAAGCCCATGGGTGACTGCAACAACAACATACATTAAGAACTCCCTGTAGCCAGAAATCCCAAGAGGCTTCTATTGTTAGTCTGAGAACACAAACACCAGCATCGGAATTAGCCAATTAGATTTGAATAATTAAATAACAAAATAAATAAACAAATAAAGGATGAGGAAGCTGATTTCTCCTGCGACCGTTCTGATGTAGCTCAGTGTAACTACCACAGGGTGGTGCAATGACATTTCAAATAAAAAATGAAGCTCAGCACCATGGTCACTACATGGAATCAATCAGTTAGTCCATCCATCCATCATCCATCCATCCATCCATCCATCTATCCATCCATCCATCTATCCATCCATCATCCATCATCCATCATCCATCCATCCTCTGTCTAGTATAATAAAATAGTTGAACCTGAATTGTTAAAAAAATGCATTTGAATATTAACATATAAAAGTTAATATTTTAAAATGTATCAAATAGTATAATATTTAGCTATAAGTCACAAGATAATTAAATGTACAATGTAAAATATCAATTTAGGTTTTCTAAACATTCGCCAAAACACAACTACCAGGCTCAAAAATGACTAACACAATGTTGATTGCCATGTGAGATTTAGAGAAGGAGACAGAGTCTGCTGTCGTGTGTGTTTTCAGGTGAACTGTTCTTTTTCTTGGTCTCATAAGGATCACTGATGTCCCAGGCAAATGGCGTGACTCTGTGGATGTGGGCGGAGCCTGCTGAGTGGACACTTCTGATGTCAGGCTCTCTGCTAGCATCTTACAAAAGGGACATGTTAGTGTCAGATTTTGGTTGATATCAACAAAACTTTATCGATTATACAGAATTATAGTTTTTGATTATCCAAAATAAACATTTGCTGCAATGTAGTACTAGTGATTTTCTAATGATTATTTGGTACAAAACTTTTTAACAAACTAATTTCCCACTCAGATCTTAATATACCGTACTCTGATATTTAGACCTAACAACTGTAAGTGAGGTTTTTTTTATTTTCAGGGTTTTCTTTTGTGTCATCTTTTTTTTTGTTACCTCTGTTGCACTGATCATGCATGTCCTCCTCATAAATACAGGCATGACCACAGTCTTTTCCCATAATGCTATCCTCTGATAGCAGCAGGTTCTCCAAAAGGAAGTAAGTGGTCATCTGGCCTTTGCCCTTCACTTTAATTTGTCCACGCTCCTGGATGTTGAAGCCTGCATCCTTCAGTTCACTGCAGACGACAGACGAAAGACATGAAGAACTGTTTAAAAATTGCCAAACAATTAAAACTATTTGGTTTAAACACAACTTTACTCTCTCTCTCTCTCTCTATATATATATATATATATATACAAGGACTACAAGGATTATTTTCAGCAAATACAGTATATTATTTTTTTTTTTTTTTCTTTTTTATTTTTTTTTTCATTTTTATTGACCTGAATTCTGGTTGAAACCCTCTGCCTATTTCTGCAGACTCGAGACCACTGAAGCCCTCAAACCGCCAACAAAGACGACATCATAATCCTTACCTGTAGGTGGAAGCACTGAGGTGAATGTGATCCGGCACGCCATGACTCTCCATCCTAGAAGCCGTATTCACTGTATCGCCAAACAGACAGTAACGAGGCATTTTCTCACCCACGACTCCAGCTAAGACTGGCCCAGTGTGGAGGCCCACGCGGATCTGAGAACACACACTTCTTCTGGAACAGTGTCCAGTGTGAGATGAATCTACTGCTCACCTACTCAACTACTCACCTGTATAGGTCTTCCTGTCACAGGGTTGGTGACCTCTCGGGCTGCGATCCTCATGCCCAAAGCAAAATTTCCCACCCTGCGTGCGTGGCTTTGTGTAGGTATTGGAACTCCACCTACCACCATGTAGGCATCACCGATGGTCTCAACCTTTAGGAAAACCAGACTGTGTGATTCCCCACTGGTAGAGAGCATTTATCATCATTTTACTAAAGGTAAACAACAAAAACTGAATGTATTTAAATAGATTTCATGCTAAAATAAAGAAACTTTTATTTTTCTAACTTTGAGGAATACGTTCGATACATAGAATAGAATTTTGTGAATTCTGCACAATTTTTTTTTTTTTCTTCAATTTAGTAGCACTGTAATAACCGTAACCAAGAAGCTACATCTTGGTTGTGGTTATTACTTCAGTGCTTGGGGTTTTGTTTTTCATATTTATAGAATTTTGTGAATTCTGCACAATTTTTTTTCTTTTTTTTTTATCTATGTAAATGTAAGAATTATATTGCTGATATTTTTTCTGCTCTAGTCTAGCCTGTAAACATACAACTAGTATGATACATTTGGCTTTTCCATTTTAATAATAAGCAATAATTGCTTCAGTTTTGAGTATTTTTTATTTATTAAATATTAATTTTATTTTTATTTGTTTTATTTTGTAAATTTTAGTTACTTCCTGTGGAAGTGCAATATTTATTGTTTTATTAGTTGTAATGAGTGTGTACGTTTATTGATATTTATTTGTAGCTTCATTGGCTAATCTTAAGACATTTTACATATGTTTGGACAATTTACATATATTTCACTAATAAACATGTGACCATTAATAATCTTTGCTGTTTTCATGTTTCCATACCTTGTAGACATCGTGGACACTGGTGAGCCTGTCAAACCTGGAGTACATGGAGTTGAGCATGTGGACGATGTGGATGGGCTCACAGGCGGCACAGATGTTTGTGAAGGTCACCACATCACTGAATAAAATAGTGCAAACCTCAAACTCCCCTGGGTAAAAAAATAAACCACCGTCAATGTGACAGATGCAGAGCACAGACAGTTTGGCTTACACACAATCACACCTACCTGCTTCCACACTCTGGCCATCTTTGAGTTGATTGGCCACGTGGCGGGGAAGCATGGCGTATAGCAGTGCCTCAGTCTTCTCTTTTTCTGCCTCCAGGTGGCGTGACAGAACTCTCAGCTCCTCCTTCACACATAAGTTACAAAAGCCTATTAGTGGACCAAGGTTAATAAATGGTCCTTTGACTGACTGAAAACCCTTTAAGACTTGTATGAAAGAACTCTTGCTCTATAGTGTCCTAACAACGGATGTTTAAATTACCTAATTTTAGTATTTATTACATCTTTTCCAATAAATATTTTTTGAAGAACTGCAGTGTAGAGCAGCAGCTTCTGATTCTCAACAGACTAAATAACTCTAATTACGAAGGAGCCACAAGACAACAAGGTCTGATCCTAAGCTGCTGTTCAGTTGCTGTTACTAATATATGTAAATCCCCATGTGAAATTAGGACACCTTCTCCTGTTTATATGTTGTAGTCTACAAATTAACATACAAAACAATGTCAGCATCATGTCACCCAGATCAAACAGCCCATATTGATTAACCTTTGTTATTTTGTTAGTGTTGTACACAAAAAAATAATAACAGAAAGTATTCAATCTTACCGACTGACGAGCCTCTGTATAAATATATTTTTACAGTGTAAAATTGCTTGGTTTCTATATATAAGGGGTCTGCAACCCCCATGTACGCAGTCCAGTCCTGGTCAGTGGGTCAGTTGATACTGGGCCACAGAGAAATAATTAATAATTCACATTTGTCACTATTTCACCATTTTACTTTTTTTCATTTGAAGATAATTTGTCATTTTTTAAAATAATACATATTTCACACTCCAATACTAACTTTAACTTTCCTTAATATCTTTTAATGCATTGTTTCCCAAAGACTGGGTTGCGACCCTCAGGTGGGTCGCAAGGGGTTTCTTTTTGGGTCTCCTCACATCATGTTTCCCAGGAGTTTATGCATAATGTCTATTGACTTGGGTCAATAGACAATCAAGGTTTGTGACTTTTAAAATACAGGTCCCCAGAAATAAAGTTTGGGAAACATATACTTAATGAACCTTCAACCACTGGCACGGTGCTATGCTGGCCACTACTGGCCAACAGGTCCTTGGAACAAAAAATGTTGTGTTGAAATGGTTATTTGAAGTTTTTTCCCCAAAGTTACAAAGTTGTCGTCACGCCATATTTTTTGCTCCATTACTTCTAATCACGACTGAACCTCAGTCTGTGAAGTGCTCGACTTTTTGCTCCACAGTAAACAGAGAAAATAGTTTTGGTTGGAGCGACATAGGAACTTCTAAACTCTTGTTTATAAAGTTTGTGTCAGTTTGGCAAACATTGATTGATGTATCAATTATTTTTTTATATACCACTAAGTAAAACATTAACTGAGAATGGCAGCTGTGGATAGAAACCCCTGATGCCTTGCTCTTTTACACTCAAAATGCAGATTTTGTCTTTGGTGGAAAATGTTTCTAAAGTGATACAAATGTCAGTTTGTACTGAGTCCCCACACAGGAGACTAGCATTCGTAAGATCTTTCCTACCTTTTTCCTCTCCAGCTGGTTGGTCAGCTCCATCTCAGCTAGCCGTTGCTGGTTGAGAAGGACCAGGTCTCTGGTGACATCGTGCTGGGCCAGGTCAGCCAGGTGAAGACCCACATCCTGAAGCTCTTGAAGGTTTCTCAGCTTTGGAGAACACAGGTAAAGCATGCAGCCGAGAGAATCCATCCATAACATCTGACCTTTTGGTGAAAACAAAACAACAGTAAAAAAAAGTTTACACCCTTTAAACCAAAGTAGATTAAGTAGAATAGTGGTAGATTATGCAGTGAACATATAAGACTTCACTAAGTGAAACTGTCGCTAATTAAAACCGAGTCATTTGGGAGTGTAAAAAAATGTCAAATAATACCACGATTTTCCTAAATATATATATATATGTATATGTATATATACACTACACACAGTGTTGTAAAAACCAACTTTTTCTAAAATACCTAGCTGCCGCCTCATGTGAGTTGGAGATCCCTGGTATAAAGGCTGTGATTGAGGTTAATCAGGGTGATAACCTGACCTTTCAGCAGTTTTACCTCTTAGCTTGAGTGTGGAGTGCTTGTCCTTGCAGTTTTTTAGGACAAATTGGCTGTTGATGAACTTCCTAATGCTCTCGATGGTAAAAGTTACCTGGAGAACAGAGAAATGTATATTTAGGCATTTTAGATAAGTTCTGTGGTATTTGTGTGAAAATCTGTAAATAACATTTTGTTAACCTTTATTTATTTATTTATTTATTTCTGGCTCCTTGGACCACTAATTGTTACTTATTTATAATTTGAAATAGCTTTTTTGTGATACTTTTACCTCTATTTAATCTTGGCCTTCAGTTTTATTTAGCTTGAAGCCAAATTACATTTAAGTTAGCTTAGCGATAGCTATAGAGGTTAGCAAAAATTGTAAGTTTGACCTGCGGATGGACAATCAAGAAGAATTTGTCCAGCGTAGCATCTGTCTTCTGCAGATCTGGAACAAACTTCTGAATGTTCACTCCTGTCTGTTTCACCTTCAGCTGTGCAGTGTAAAAAAAAGTAAACCATTTAAACATAAATAGTCAGATATTAAAATGTTGTTGAAGTAACACTTTACAATGGAGCGTTACATTTTCATCAAAGATGATGTGGAAGGGAAAGGCGTTACAGAAAGCCTTCTCCTCCATCCACAGCTTCTCTGGGTAATATGGAGTGAATGTGCACTGGAGACTGGAGCCTGGAGAACAAAACAAACACAACTATTTCATACATGACATTGTTTTTCTTACACCACCACCAATTAAACAATTATTATTTAAATCAATTATTATTTTATAGCAAGCCAAGGGATTAAAGTAAGGGTATTATGACCAAATTGGAGAATTAAGTCGGCTCACTCTCCTGCCCCAAATCCCACAGAGAAAACCATTGATTTTAGCTCAAAGCAACTACAGTAAACACTGCTGTGTACCACTGCCACCTTTGGTCAAAGTGTGTCATTGCCGTAACACAAAAGTAAAAAAAAAAAGATATTTGAAGGAGCTCAAAGTGACACAGACAGGGATTTTAAATTCAAAAGTAAAGTTAACCAATAGCACACTAACTAAGGACAGTTTCAATTGCTGGTTTTATGGACATTTGTACATTGATACGATCTCTCAGAATTGTACCATTTGCTGTGGAAACAATTGCTCTGAGCAGATCCCAGCCCCTCATTTTCCCAGTCAGAGATGCACATTTGTCCTTCATTATTCTGAAAAACTCCTCCTGAAAAAACAGATGAACACAAATAAAAATCAAACATGAACAACAAACACACAGTATACAGAGACTCTGTCCACTGGCCTGTTTGTGTTCAGAGTCTCCTCTCTGCTCTGTGCTCTCAGACGTTTGTTTGGTCTGTTTGACCAAAAACACAACGTGCTCCTTCTTCCCAGTTCGTTCGTCTTCTTCTGACTGGTTCAGCACCACCAGGGTCACTGTGCTGTGAAACAGGTCTCTACCAACTGCCTCCATAATGCCTGCAGCAGAATGGACAGTAAAATGCTGCTATGCTGTTTTTTCATATGATATCATGTTTATATAAAAAGTATGTTCAGTTTATATAATGGAATATATATTTTATGTTTTTAATGTAGGTAGCTTACTTTACCCTGGTCAATTAAATAGAAGCTCCCAAGCCAAAATAGTATGGGCACCCCTGGTATAGTTTGTTAGCAGGACATGACATAGCCTAGCCTAGCCTAGCCTAGCCTCATTGTAGACTGATTATTCTACAAAATGAATCCCTAAATAAACCATTTTGTAGCATGGGTCCTGCACAGCCGATATATCAGTTGACATATTATGTTCAGTTGACATTCGCACCTAAATTTATTTCCTACTTCTTTCAGATAAAGTGTTCAAACTTTAACACCAAAGTTGCCTCTTTCTATTAGGAAAGTCATAGCTGAAAATCTAACTTTTATTTAGCAAACTGCCTTTTCAGCACGTGATTCAAAACTAATATAAGTTGTAAATGTAATGGTGCAATGCAGTGTAGATGTTGGTACCTGGTACTATGTGGTGCAGACCCTTCCTGTCAGAGTAATAGTGCAGAAGCATCTTCCCATCATCCGTCATCTCCACTCTGAATGACGGTGCATTCATTTCCTGGAAAACAAAAAATACAGTTATAAATGTCTGATCTATAGCATTTTATTTGGCTGACTGGAGACAAAAGTAAAGTAAATTGTTCACAAAAAAATAAGGGGAAAAAATAAGGGAAAAATGTGAAAAAAAAAGCCAAACCATTGCTAAAAATATCATTGGAATGCATTAATGAATTAACCTACATTTGGGCTCAAACTAGTGAGCTAAGGAGGCTATCTAGAAATATGTCAAAGTTGGCAAAGAATGTATTGGTAGGAAACTAATAAAAAAGAAAACATATACTGTAGAATGACAGTATCGTGATAATACCACAGACCTGATAAGACAAAGCCAGGTAACTGTGCAGTGCGTCCAGATTTTCTATGAACTCCACCAGATTTCCTCCCAGTGTCTGCAGCATGGTGTCATAGCCAGCGTTTTTACAGAAAACAAAGAAATGTTCTCCAAATAGCTTTAACAGGACCTCAGAGGGAACATCTGAAAAATAGCACAATATATAGAACAATATATAGAATATATATAGAATATGTATATGTATATGTATATATTCTGAATGTACTGTATATGCCTGTTTGTCTCATTACGGCCGAAGCAAATATTCAATCACAGCCTTTTCCCAAATGTAAATAAGCTTCACACTCTAATAAAGAAGTCCATAGAGAAAACATGCCTTTTAATTTCATGGGGATTCATGAAGCACCAGCCTCCTTATTAGTTCAGTTTATTTCATTAAAATGAATCTGAACAAATTGTTTTAAAATGTGGAGCCACAATAGGGGTAAGTAATGGATGAACAACTTATATATTATAGACAGATTTATCAGATTTATTCATTACTTCACTCGTCGTGTAACATTCTGTGCTACCTTCACTTTTATACAAAGTCTGTTTAAAAAAGCATAGTACTTTTGGCCTGACTAGTTTAGGTCATTAGCCAATTAGGGTTAGGTCAAAACATATGTAATGATACACATACAGAAGTTACACATTTAAAATAATAAAACTAAGCAAACAATCACTGTATATTATGGGGGTAAAATTCTAACTACTGAACAAATACTATCTAAGCTTGTTTAGGTTTCTGGGATTGTAAAATAAGTTTCTCACTGATTAACTTTGACACAGAAGAACAAGGTGTTCGAAAACCTTACATTTTTACCAGAAATGAAACAAATTAATGTATCTGTAGTTTACATAAGAAAGCAAACTTTCCCTCTAATGGTTTTGAAGTCCAAACACCCAGGGGGCGCCACCTGCCACACTCTTCAGGGACATTGTTAGCACCAGAGTAAGGACACACGTGTACAGTAGATTCACACCTCACACACGTTGCATTTATTTTTTCTGATTACTGTTATTGTCATACAGGTTTTTCACTTCACTACTATTTTATAAAATTATCAGAGTGAATATCATTTTTCATTTTAACTAATATTATCAGTTGAACTAATGCTACACTGAATGTTGACTTTCTACTGATGTAGGGTCTTACCCAGCAGTGAACAAGCCTCTGTGACCAGACTCAGGGTCAGGATGTCGTCATACACTGTGTATGTCATAAAGGTTTCCTGGACTCCAGGTAGAGAGCTGAACATTAGAAAAAAACAATGTCCAGTTAATATATACTGTATGTCAGTCTCATTTGGTAAATATATACAATAGCATATAAAAACCTGAGTTTTTTCCACGTTTCTTCACCAAACTTCTCCAGCACCAGAGACTGTAGGCAGCTGTTGATGAAGCCGTACTGTAGACAAACAGGAGGAAACCAACACTGATCACAGTCTGAAAAACATCCCTCAGGCTGCAATAAATGATCAGAAAACCTGAACACTTTAGTCATGATTAAAAATGGAGAGATCAGAAGTTAAATGTTCTCTGTCAACCAATTATAGCCATGACAAACAGTAAGATGAAGTGAACTGCTACTTCAGTAGCTGTGGTACACACCTGTCTATCATTTATGGTAATGAATAGTTTCTAATATCTTATTTAATCAAATAAACACACACTCACCATGTTTGTAGTTGGTCAGACTGCTTTAAAGCACATTCATTTAGATGTGCTCCGTCTCTCTTCGTCTCCTCCCCACAGAGACAGTCCAGTCCCTCCCAGCGTCTCCCTGTGTCCTCCCACTAATCTTTGGTAACACAGGGCTGTGACTGAAATCCTTCCTATTTCCTCCATCACCGCTTTGATTAGTCAGCACTTCATCCATGAAGGTGGAGTATGAGAAAACCTGTAACCATTATGACATTCACAGCTGGTTAACATTGGACGTCAAGGTCTGTTAAAGGGTTTTAGATGCACTGACAGTCACTGGTCTGTGAAACAGAGCAAGTTGATTTGAAGCTCAGGTGTTAAAATATGGATTCTACTGTAGTGTCCGTGAACTGTTTATTAGCCAATTATATTTTGTCAGACTCCACACTACTGTAACTGTTTCATCACTCAGTCGCTTATTAATCAGATCTCCCAACACCAGAGATCGACTCTTAGTGGTTTCATCTTATTTCTATTCTTATTTAGGGAAATAAAATTGAAAAGAACATTTAAAGTTGATGGGTGTAAAAAAATGGAATCTCCCCCACAATAAAAAGGACAAATACAACATAAAGGCTGCGGACTGTCTCGGTCACTGGCAGACTTCACAATGAAATGACCCAGAACATGGACCACATATAAGTGCTGTCATTATAAAAAACTAAGCCCAGCAAAGTGACGCTTTTCAAGTCATTTATCCAACCAGGAACAACAGACCAAGTCCTGCTCCAATTGGACTTGAGCTTAATTCCAAAAAATTCATTATTAAGTCGTGGGGAAATATGGAAAAAGAAAATATGGTATAAAGCAGCTAAAAGCAATGTATGACAAAGGTATCTAAACTAAACAAAAAATATATTATAATAATTTTACATAATATAAAAATGTGCCTTTTAGTGCCTAGTCTAGCTAAAGGTTTGTAAATTATATAGAGTAAATCATTTTGAAAATAAAGACACAAACAAATCTATACATTCAGATAATAAGTCCAATCCTGGTGTATGACTTAAGAACTTTACAACCCAATTCGCTCTTCTAACCATGATTGTATACAGGATCTAGCTTAAAAGAAAAAAAGAAAAAAGAAAGAATAAACCTAAACGTTGCAGTTAAGTAACAAAAAAGTAAAATTACATCATTTAACAAAATATGTAAAAACTGGATCCTCCCTTTTGTTGGAATTTTTTGTACTCGTTTTGTAAACAAATACACTATTACAAAATTATGAGCCACCGTTTCACCGAGGAAGTGGTTTGTTCCATCCGCTTAACCTTTGACAGAGTTTATGTTGCCATCTAGCGGTTAGTTTGGGACACTACAGGATAAAAACTGAAGAATTGTTAGAAATACAGCTTTATTTGAAGAAAACATACGTATGTTATAGAAATAAAAGAATGTACATTCGTCTATAATTTAACAACATCTCACTGTTATCATCGTTGGCTTCTATTCATAAATGTAGAATCTGTTGTTGCTAAACCACTTACTTGACTTGAGTACATAAAGAAAATCAGTGATTTAAGTACACATGGCACCACTGTAGCTCTGTTCCCGCCCTGCGCTGAGGTAAAATTTAAGTTTTTCTTAATGTACTTTGGAACAAGAACTGAAATGTTTTCAAAGACGTGGTTTTCTAAAAATAAAAGCCAGTTTAGTCCCCGTCTTTAAAGTTCCCTTCCTGCACTGAAAGTGTGGGCTCAGACAAAGCTGTCCCTGCTGAAGTTGGGTCGGCTGCTTCTGGGAGTCACTCTGGGATCTCGGCTCCGTCTGCCTTCGTAAAACAGCGGAGGAACAAGGGTCACTCTGGAGGACGTGGGCGGCAGCATGTAGGTCCGTCTGGTCTTGGCAGTGACATAGGTGTGTGGTCTATAATGCTTCTTTGGGGAACTGTGTTGTAGAGGCAGAGGTAAAGTCAGATACTAACACCAGTTATCAGTTACCAACAACATATCAGCTATCTGTTCATATTGAATTATTACGGTTTCAGTTTCAAGTTGAGTTTTCACTGCAGGAATTAGTAGAAGCACCAGGAACTACATTACGTTCTCAAGTAGGATTATTATTTTTGAAATAACAGTGCTAGTGTGTGTTAGCATCAGACATGTTAAAACATGCATTTCATGAAGCTAAGATTAAACCAAACATATTTTTAATTCAACCAAGTTGAGTTTAGCAAATAACTTTTTTAAATAAAATATTTCAAAATGTGGAAACATGGAGGGAAGACATCAACAACAAAGTGAGCGATAGCTAAGTTAGCCTGACAGACAATATACCTACACATAAAATCACCTGATCAGTTGGCTGATCACTTGATAAATGTATAGAAAAAATTTACTACATTCTTGCCACTAAAAGTTAACAAGAAGGTATAAAACATGCTGCCCGTAAAGCTAAATGTAGCCTTGATTATAACAAAAAGCATTTTGCCAAAAACAAACAAACATAGATTTACAGAGTTTATTAACTGCTGAAAGTAACCGCAGAAGACGTCTAACTTAAAGATGACAAAGGTTTAGGTCAAATTAAAATAATTAAAAGTTAGTTAAAAGGTAGAACATGGTCCTTCACAGACGATGGTTGACCAGTGATGGTTATCTTTGGACACCAGGAGTAGATTATATGTCAGTCCAAGAGAGGTCCCTGGTGTGAGAGATTCTGGTACTGAATTATTTTGCTTAAAGACACTGTGAAGTCTCTGGTACTGCACCTGGATGGTAGAACTTCTCTTCCAGCGAAGAAACTCAACACTGCTGATCCACACATCAGGAGGGTGGAGCCTCCCCAACCAACAAAAACACCTGCTCCAATTTCAAACCTGGTAATCACAAATTAGGTTGAGTTTGGATTCTGAGATTAAAATCGAACTTTTCTTTCAAATGTACTCACTTTTGAGCTGTAAAAGTAGGATCCAGGTACTCTCTTACCACCTTGTTCCCCCACCAGGAGTACGTGATCATGCCACAGAACCCTGGGGGAGGACATGGCAGCTTTCACAAGACATTCACACATGGTTTCATGTTTTGGTTGTTTATTTGTTGAGTGGTCTTTACCAGAGACCAGGTAGGTTAACCCCCCAGAGAAGGTAACTCTGGCGTTTGCGATCTCCGACCCTCCAATTTTAGTGCACTTCATTCCGATGAGTGTGAGAACACCTCCGAAAAAGCCAGTGATGACGGAGCAGATTGCCAGTGCCCTGCAGCCATGCAAGAACACTAGAACCACAAGGGGGCACAATGGCTTTATTGGAATTCTATTTACTGTTTGTGGTTGATCTGGTCATTTTCTAACTTTTTATTCAATAAATTTGAGTTTATTTATTTAAAAACAGTGATAAAGAAATTTAAAAAAAATAATTATGGGATTTTAGTTTTTATTCAGCTTTTACCAGCAATTTGTATATATAAAATATTTTATGGCCTAAGACTCATTTTGGCTAAATTGTAGTTATGTTTTTACACGTGTTAACTGTTAATTTATTAGACAAAATTTTAATCAAACTTCAATCTTTTTTTCAGATCAGTTTAATTTAAATCTTGTTTTTTCTATTTTGTTGTTGACTTGTTCAATGTAACCTGTATTTTAATGCTAAATATTTAAGTATGTATTTCGCAAATGTATTACACAAAATATAGAATAAAATGCTAATTGACTTTTATAGGGGCTAATTGCAGGCTTACAGACAGATATTTCTCTGTGGTTTTTCCTTCACACATCAGTTGACTTTAGCATGTTATAAAATCTCTAATTAAACTATCTCTAGTTAAACACTTTTGCTACCACTGAAACTTTCAAGACTTCACAAAACAATTCTCAGGTGACTCTACCTGGCAGGGCCAGCATGGACGGGTAGTCCTTGCAATCGGAGACCCCTGTGGTGTCAGAGATGCAGTCCCTCCACAGGTTGGAGTAGTAGTTGGAGGTGGTCATCACAACGCTGCCCACCTCAGAGAACGTCCAGTACTCTGTGGGAAGAGTGGAACAGACCAGGATCCAGCCGCACAGACAGCACACGAAGCAACCGAGCTCCATGTACATCACCACTATCCTGGGCAGCATGACAAAAATGAAGAAAAAGACTTGATCACCAGGGAAAAAAAGTCCTAACAAGAACTCTGAAATGTTTGGAGGCTGTGAGTGTGGGAAAGTGGACTGAAGTGTCTCACCTGCCGCCAGTATCTTGTCTTATCTTTTAGACAGTTTTGTCCAGTCAGCATCCTTCCTGTTCCCAGCACTGCAGAGAAACCAAAATGAGTCATTCTCTAAGAATAACAATTTAGTTTTATATGGAATATTAGAATATTAAAACATAAGCAGAATGCCTACGCCGAAGTCCATAGAGAAACTAGGAGTGTAGATACTTTATCATGAGAGTTACCAACAACATTTCAACTCAGTGATGTGTGTGAATGTGTAAAGGTCAAGGTGAGTCTTTTTTGTGTGCCCTACTGCCCTTGGTTACATTGTCCATTTTGACAATTCCACTTAAAGAAGTTACCCCACTCGGGACCCCACAAAATACAAAATCAAATCAATACAACCCCATAAAAAACACAGTATGTTTTTAAAAAAATGTAAGTTATATATAATACTACAGTGCAAGCAGCTAATACAATAGGTTTATTTTCTCATTATAAACCTAAGTATTTTACTAATTAAAAAAGAAAATAAATAATTAACACTGATACTAATATACTTAAAGAAAGTATATAATCATTACTGACATCCAGTTAAGGGCAAGATGACCTGCTGTGTGTGTGAAATTGGTTTGACATCTCTATGACTTTTTCTGTAGAGGTATAAATGTTGTTTTGTTTGCCCCTTACAACTCTTGCATCATCGTCGTCATGTTTAGAACATTTTTCCAAGAAAAGCGTTATTTGGAGAAAACTACTTTGGTTTCATGAGACGGTTTAGCTGAGTTGGCTCTGCTGAGTTAAACAGAAAAGGTTCAACTGCAGTGTTTATGTATAAACAGTTATGGAACCCACAATGAGGGGTCACTGACAGTGACACACAGGATGATGTTACAACCACTCTAGGTTCAAAGACATGCTTGAACCATTTTGCTAACTGTCTATCCATCTACCTATCTATCTATCTACAGTATCTATCTATCCATCCATCCATTCTGGTGCGACAGAGGACAGAGACTACATTTTATTTTTTGAACCTTTTTGTTAAAAACAATATGAGAGGGTGGAAGTTTAGCTCAGTTAGTTCTGTATCTTTGTCTTATCTTTTCTGCTGTATGTTGACCTCTAAATGTTGACTTAGAGCAAACAAAGAAGATTCAGCCCACCCTTCACTGTCACTGTGATCTTTGGTTGATCTGATTTGTTAATTTGTTACTATTTTGACAAAATAGGTCTTACACACTTCAGCACATTAACATTATTCAAGCCATATAAATATATTTTTAACTTACTCAGGCAGTGATCCGGAAGGTCCTGGGTTTGAGCCCCATAAAAAGGCAGGTAACATAAAATGGTTATATGGACATTTATATCAGGATGGCATATCCTTATTGTATGGTCAACATTAAATAAATATATCATGAAATAATTACTCAAATGTGTGATTGATTGATTAAATTGAATTGCATACATTGATGTGTCATTAAATGTGTAAGTATTTAGTTACTATACCAATGAATTATGTGTAAACAAATATATAATTATTTCCCTATTTCACTCGCCCATTAAAATTAGTGGGCAGGGCTAAACTCTAAGCTACTCTGTTTCAATGCCTGGATGACTAGAGCATGTAGCAATTTTAAATGGTTTTGGAGACTGATTTCTCACACAGTTTTATAGCCTTACATCCCAAGGAATTTATTCATCAACAATAATTTATAATGAAACAAAACTGAAATTTTATCCTTAACCTTAAACCTTAAAACTGTGTACGAATATTCAGCAACCACACTGAAACAGGTATAATCAAGCTGCACTTCACACTTTTAACCACGAAATACCGCCAGAGAGGATTTAACCCTTGGCGTAATTGTCCATTTTTCGATCGACGTCCAATGCTAAATAACATTCAGTAGGGTTTCTTTTTAACATTTTCAGACCTAAAAGTAATATTTAAACAACTTCTGTGCAAAAGAACACATTATGTACATCACAGTTATGAAATACAATAACTATTCTCATATCTACGCTCATATCAACACAAATATGCATCACAGGTCATTTCCACTTAGCATCATGCTAATTATCAACAAAAATGTACCTCTGTGGGCTCCAACATTAGGAAACATTCCTGTTACTACAGTGAAGGGCTATTTTACTCAATAAGCTGCAACACAAATAACAGCAAGACTGTGAAGCTTAGCATACAGCCTCCATGCTTATCAAAGTTCTCAAACAAGCTCTCAAAAATGTCCGATAAGAATTGGAATTGGAATAGGACACAACCCTAAATACACTAACAAAATTGCAAACATTGCAATTGCGGGGGTTTGGGGTTACATAAAGGCACTGAGAAGATCATCATCATCATCATCATTATTAGCAGCAGCAGCAGCAGCAGCAGCAGCAGCAGCAGGTAGGCTGCCTCACTTCACCGTGTCTCCAGCTCATCATTTTTAAAATGTTTAGAATAATTTATCTGGTCGCAGGTTCAACATGATGCAGCTTCCCGTTGTCTTTTTCCTGGTCACTACCTTCTCAGTTTTGACTGGTAGGTGCTTCACCTCTTAAAGTTCAAGTCCCTAGCTGAATTACGCTCAAAACCCAAATTGTACCAGCAGCAGAAGTCAGTTCAACCCTTGTTGAGGAAGAAGTAAATGTTGATTTGTAGATATTTCAGAGGATCAATAGAATTAAAGTCTGCACAGCATATTGTGTATGTTGGTCAATTTTATTTGTATTCACAAAGCACATTTGTCTTAATGGACTTTTAAAATTAGAATTATTAGAACTGAATGTTTATGAGTCTGTCGCTCTGTCCACGCATCCATACAAAATATACTTTCTACAGCTTATTTCACTAAAACCCAATTTATTTTAATTTGAACTGAGAACACTGAAAAAAATAAACCCACGACTTAAGATAAGTGTCTCTCCTTGTCAGGGGCCGTCACCATGAAGACCTTGATTTTCCCAAAGGCCACTAATGATTCTTATGTAGAGCTGGTTCGTTTGAAGCCACTCGCACTTGATGCTTTTACTTTATGCATGCGTGTGGCCACCGAGCTGAAGGGTGAGCGTGAGGTCATCCTATTTGCCTACCGCACCAGAGAAAATGTCAATGATGAACTTAAGGTGTGGCGGAAATTCGATGGCAGGTAATGGACCACCTGACACTGTCCTGATTTTTCCGCTGACAAAAAACAGCCAACAACAACTTGTTCCAACCTCTGTTATCTCCACATTCTGCCAGGTTGTCCTTGTTCCTTAGTGGTGATGGTGTTGCCTTTGACCTCCCTCAACTTGAAGCCCTAGAAACCCACCTCTGCATCACATGGGATTCTAGTTCGGGCTTGGCAACCATGTACCATAACGGCAGAAAGAGCCTATCCAAGCCTTGCAGACAGGGCCACTACGTCCGTTCGGGTGGGAAGGTGATACTGGGTCAGGACCCAGATACTTACGATGGTGAATTTGATCAAAGCCAGAGCTTTGTTGGAGAGATCTCTGATGTCAACATGTGGGACACTGTCTTACCATACAGCACCATCCAGGAACTGTACTCAGGAAAAAGGGTACAACCGGGAAATATTTTCGACTGGAGAGCCATAGAACTTGAATCTTACGGGGCAGTTCATGTAGCTACACGGGAACTGTAGCTCAATCAATACTAGAACCAAGTGAATAGTTATGTTTTTAAGTTTTTATGGCATAGAGACATAACTGTTATAACTGTGAAATGTATCTGCCTTTGTCCCCAATAAAACAAAACTATAAAAACACCATCTAGTACCCTAGCTCTTTTCCTTTTTGAATGTAGCAGCTTTCAAAAGCTGTCATCTGTCATCTACTCTTTGTGTTTATCTTTGAGGGAATGAAATTCTGTTTTCAAATGTTGCTTCAGTGTCAGCTGTTTCAGGATTTCACACTTTTGGTCTTCCTTTGTCCTCAGGACAAGAAAAGCCATATCTCATATAGTCTTTGTTCTACCTGCGTTTCGCCATGCTGAATTTAAATTTGTAAATAGTTTGTAAAAAGTCTCCTATGAGGTGACATATCGGGTGTCAACTCGCATTACATGGCTATTATCGCCACCTGCTGTTAAGGAATGTAAATAGGTGAAAGTGCTGAATTAATTTCTCGACATCTTTCTGCAAAAATGATTGTCTCCTGTGACTCAATGAAAACTAAAGTGCTACCCACTTTTGGGTCACGATCCACCTGTTGAGAATCACCCTTTAAAAAGAGCTTAAACTTTTTGGCTCTTAAAAACTGCTTGTTTCGTGATTTTTTTAGTTTTTTTGTTTTACACTAAAATATATTCACGCATCCAACTCAGCCTTCTGAAACAATACGATTTAGTTTTCAACAATGGCTTTAGTCAGAGGAGCTTCGTTTGTGTGCGTCGTTAAGTGAGTGTTTCTTCCACACTTGTAAACCTGTATTTACAAGTGTGGAAGACATTAGTTTGGTTAACATGTTTCAACACAAACACATCTACACAATTCAAAGACCGCTGTCCAATTTCTTAGGTGCACTCACCAAGTCGTAGGTCCCTCTGCGTCAGACATCTCGACAACACAGCTCTCGTCCCTCTTTGTCACGTGTTTTCTGCCGTTTGTGTGCGTTCATGTTCGCCTGTGACACACACGACACGGTGGCTGGTTTCTTTTGTAGCATATCAACATCAATTTATTCCTGTGAAACAGCAATCAACATAAAGTCAATTTCTTCAGTATCTGTGTTTCTCTGTACTCTGTGCTCTGAAGTCTCATTCTAACGGTGACATGCGTCAGTTATTGATACCTTATCAACACAGCGACCTCTGGTGACCATCTACTGCAACTGTTTTTATACTAAGACAAAAACAAAATAATATATTTCACTTACTTTGGACCTGTGGATCAATAAATGCTCTGGTAATAGTGAAGAGCACATAAAAATGTCTATGTGCTGTATTTATACATTTATTTTCAAAATGTAAAAACAAAGGTTCAGGACAAGTGTTAATGATATTACTAATGTAGAAGAACATCAGTTGACAGGACATACTCTCAACATACAACTACTCTACACTGTAACTAACAAGAAAAAATAATTGTGTTTTAAAGCTGCCTAGAGCACCCTCTGTTGGAGCAGACATTCTGCACCAGGCTAATGACCCTGGGATGTTAACTTTAACCATTAAGCAATACAATTGTGCAACAGATGTCCTTTGTGACTGAGGCTGTTTACTGCTTCTCTCCTTTCCCTTTGACACACAGCCACAGGAAGGACAGGAACTTCAGACTGGACACGCCCTCAGTCTGTTGATAACATTCCTTCACATCAGTGGTGCTAGTGTTCAGAGGGGAAAACACAAGACTAAAGCTGTTTTTCAGGGTCATGCGTTTATGTGCAAAATGGAAATACACAATATTTTTGACAGATTACAAAAAGATTCAAGTGTACATGAAGTTATTTTATGTGCTATGTACCATATACTGAAACAAAAAATACTACAGACTACTGATGTCAAACATGTAGGTTGAGCATGGATCAGGTCACCCACCAAGATACAACAAAGATAGAAGAGTCTTATTTTATAGACTTAAATTTACTCCCACCCCCAGAATTCACGGCACCAGTTGAAAGATTATTGGTATAATCAATCCGGTTCACGGCCCTGTTAAACGATTAGTCAGCACCAAAATTGAAGAAATCACCTCGTAGGTAGTCTCAGGCAAGGAATGAAACAGCCCGTAGATGGTTGATTCGTTTAATAAAAAAACGCCAAAACAAACAGGTCCAACGAGCAAATAAAACAACTAGAGAAGTATTCAAAAAAGTCTCGTACAACAGTTACCTGTACGCAAAGTCAAGAATAACCTTCTTCTCAAGAATAACTTCTAATGCATCATCAGTGATGTGCACTTTTATGCTTGTTAGGGGGAGTGGTTTTCAGCTTCCCGGGTGTGTGTTTAACTGTTGTAGGGCAATGGAATTGAGAGGTTAGACCTCTTGTGGCCAATCATATTATTGCTCTTGTATCATGGTTATCCCTGCAGTCGCCACTATGTGGCTCCATGATGCAGCAGTTTATGAACCTTTTGTTGCTGAGATCAAAAGGAATGGATGGATCTGTGGTTCCCCATGAGAATGTGGATTGGGAGCCTTCCCATAGTTCCCAGGGAGTAGAGGTGTTTTGAAGTCAACTGGAGAATTGGTGTGAAGAGAGTTTGGGAGAAATTCTCTTTGAATGTGTGGGGCTATAAGTGTATGTGCTTGGGAAGGCATTTGGTGACTTGGCAGCTTCCTGCTTTCAGACCCAAACTAAATGTGAAAACTACTGAAATCTAACAATCTAAAAAAGGTAGAGTGTTCCATCTGTCTCATTTTCTGTTTCTATTGTGAAGAACTAAAATTCTCCTGTCTCTGGTGTGGAAATAGTGCCATCTTCAGATCTCTCTCTCTTAAACCTGTCCTAACTCTCAAACAAAGACTAGTCAAAGTCATAACGTGGTCTGAGTACTATTGTTTAGCTGTTGGTCCTTGCTGTCCCTGGTTTGGTCCAAGTTTGGTTCTAGAATTTTTCTTTTTTATGGATGTCCCATTATTTTGTGCTCTGATTTTTTACAGCTCATGGTAGCCTAGACACAAAGAACTTATTATGTCTCTATGGCCAGAGAAGGCATTTTGCTCCGGAGGACGAAGTCAGAAACACAGGAGGGCATGTAAGACAGTGGAAGCCAGAAGATCTTGGCGTCCCACCCAGCAGAATAGCGGACACGGGGTCTGACGGCGGACACGGCGTGCTCCATACACTTCACCACCTTCATGAGATCCCCATCACTGATCTTTGAGACAGTGTCGTCTATCGTAGCCAAGGCTAGCAGGCAAGGAGAGAAGAAGTGTGTTATTTTTCTTTTGTAGGTAAAATCTTTTCTGCTTTTGTCACTCATAAAAGTCTGAGATCAGGGGTTATTTTTACTTTGGCTTAATGTTTAAATGGTTAGTGTAAATTTTATCTATGATGAAGTTTCCTAAATTTTAAGGACAACATTTATGTGTGGAAAAGTTTCCTAGATTTTAAGGACAACATTTATGTGTGGAATATGTATATTCTCACCCAATTTTGTTTGGGAAAAACAGGCCTGCATGCTTTGTATCGCAAATTAAGTGCCGGACGGTTACAAAATCTCGACTATGGACAATCTGTGAATCTTACCCTGGTTCAGATAAGCCTCTCCATAGTCCTGCTTGATATCCTGTGGCAGTTTGTTCCACAGCATCATTACATTCCTCCTCAGGATTCCAGAGTCTGTCACGTTGGTTTTAAAAAAGCCCGGCTCTATGCAAAGGACTTTCACGTCAAACGGCACCAAACACAGCCTGAGCAAGATGCAAAATGTCCATTTCGTCACTGTGAATGTTACTATAAAGATGTTAAACAGGTGTTGGAGAAAATGTATTACCTGAGGCCGTCGGTGAATGACTCCACACCATACTTGGAGACACAGTAGGGTCCCCCTGTGCCTGTGATGCGCCCGAAAACACTGGCTACATTTACCACTCTTCCTTTGGCCTTCTTGATGAGCGGGAGGACGCTAAGGGTAACAGCGATCACGCCGGTCAGGTTCACATCCAGCATTAACTTGTAGTCGTCAATGGTCAGCCAATCACTAGGACCGCTAGGGACGGACACTCCTGCGTTGTTCACCACTGCCCACAGACCTTTAGAATTTATTATTAAAAATAGAAAACACAAATATTAATTTGTGGCTCCAGGGGAGTGACTTTCCAATTGAGTTTATTCAAGTCTAGTTTTAAATCTTGATCTGTTGGGTTTCTACATACACTACTGAATACAGAGTGTAAATAGTCAGCTGTAAAAAAAAAAAAGAAATGCTCAGATGCAAATGTAGGGCAGAAATAATACTGTTGACATGGGTTAAAGTCAAAAAGGATAGTTAATAATCAACTAGCTTTTGGCTTTTCCTCTACCCCAAAAGGGAGTGCTATAAACACAGTTTAACAGGTTTTTTTTAATTGTCCTATTATGACATTTTTGTTTTCTTCTAGTTTCATTTCTTAACTAATTCCAAACTGAAAAAATATCTCAGATACCTCTAAGCTAGAAGGAGTCAGAGCAGAAAAACCTGAGATACTGTTCTGCCAAGGTGCGCTGCGCAACAAACAAAGCTTGAAGAAAAACAAATGAACAAAAAATACTTATACTATAATACTTATCTATATTCTAATCTATATTTCATGAAGTGTCATATCTAAAAGAAATCTATATTTCATGAAGTGTCATATCTGCACTTTGCCATACTTAATTGGCATATGTAAGTGAAGTTAGCGTTTCTTCTCCTTTAACATGAAATGTCAGGTTTCAAAGGTTATATTACAGCTGTATTATCGCCACCTACTGGTACGAAGCGTAAAAAGGTGAGCCTGCTGATATTGTTTCTCAACAACTTTTTGCCTCGGAATAGGCCTGGAACCCACTGAAAACTAGTCGCAACCCACTAGTTGAGAACCACTGCTCTAGGTCATCACCTACCACAAGTCCCCACTTTGTCCTTGATCATTCCTGCCACTTTGTTGACGCTCTCCGTAGAGCGAACGTCTAGGTGAGTCGTGGTCAGGTTACTGGAGCACGACTTCTTCAGGTCCTCCTCTCCTTTCTCTGTGAAGCACCCAGCGATCACCCTGAAGCCCTTCTTGTCCAGGTGTCGAGCCAAGAGGTTGCCAAAGCCTGTGTCGCAGCCCGTGATGTACACATATTTATCTCCTTTGTTGGAAATGTGGGGAAGCTCCCTGATCCAACGGTACAAGTAGAAGAGGAACAGAAGGCCCAGGATGTAGAGAAACATGACTGCAGGAGGACACAGATGGTGTGGAGCAACTGAGAGAAAGCCTGACCAATATACACACAGTGTTGCGTAAGAGGACAATGACTGCACTCCCCCTTACACACCCTGGCTGTTTATTAAACTTGTATCTGAACTTTTTGGCAGATTAGTTGTCCCTTTGTTTTTTTAGTTTATTTAGTTTATACTTACTTTAGTTTATATTTGGGATTGTTCGTTATATTCACTTATATACAATCAGTCTCTTTTTGTGGCTGATTTTTTATTTGATTTTTTAAAATTAATTTTAATAATAGATTTGTTTCTTTCTAGAGAAACCTTTAGTCTATTTTACACTTGGCTTCAAACCTTTACATCTTTAAATATTCTTTCAGTATTATTAATTATTATATGTGTTTATTTATAATTTGTGTAGACCTAACAATACAACAAGTAATAAGTAGGGCGGATTCTCAGACTCAGCTATGTGACTTAATCGGTCTGAAAACTATCATTTACTGCAAGTAAATTCTTTGCTTCTTTATGACAGTAATAGGCGCAGCAATTAAATACTTCTCCAGTAGGTGGCAGCAGATCACTATTAAAAGAGAATCACAGCTGTTGACAATCTTAGCTTGAGTCTTACTCAATACTTGTGAGGATACCAGTGGTGTGTTCAACTAGATAGGCCCAGGTTTCACACTTGAGAAAATTGTTAGTAAATTGAAATTACAAGATAGTTCTATTTTATTACATATAGCTTTTGTAATATTTTAGTTTGTGGCTGTGCTGTGACAATGTAAAATATCTGCCTTGACTGAAAAAGGAAGATGTTGTTAAATTTCTCTCCAAGGAAAAGTCACACAGTTACTTATTATCATTTAAAGGTTAAGAGCACAGAAACTGGTGGTTCATTGTTTGTTTATGTCTTCATTGACTGTTTTCTCCTCAGTAGGATATTGTATTTGCTTAACAAGTTGTTTTTTGTTTTGTTTTTTTTGAGTCTGCATGTACCTGTTTATATAATTGAATACAACCATTTCTACGAGTACGACTACTGGTCCATTCCAAAGCTATAATTGTTTACTTTATAAAAAATATGTCATACAAATAAAACATATGACAAGGAGAGAACAAGCAAGTGAATGCACATGGCTTTGTCTCTTTGGTTGTTTGGGCCCCACGTGTCCACACGGGGTACAGTACAGTACAGATATTTGTACTCTAATCTGATTCTGATAAACGTGTGCAGTCCCTAGGCTGTTGTTCGTTGTACAACCAGAGTATTAGTTGACCTCTGGTTTGCGCAGCATTTTTCTTAAAGAGTTTAAAGTTGGATATTTAATTTAAGTTGCAACATTAACAAAGTTTAACCATAGATTTCCTGTGTGGAGAGGACTTAATATTCAACTCTTTAACTTTAACATATGATGTCAGACACAAGTAAGTGATTTGATTTTTTAACTGTAAAAAAATTAATTAATTAATTATAATTTGAATAGGTTACTTCTAATGTTCTGATAAATCTACAATAGTTACATATTGATTGTGGGGTATATGTACTAAAATTTTGTTTTTTTTTAGCAAGTTTTCGCAACAAACTTATTCTTGTTTGAGAAGCATCGGGATAAATTGATCCATGTGTGAGATGAATCAGTAAATGACCCAACGTGTCTTTAATGCCATTATTTGAAATGTAATGTAAGGAAAGCCCGAGCTTTAAAAAATGTTCTGTTAGTTGTTCACATTCTAACGGAAAACAAAATACACAAATGACGTCACACAGACCGAAGTTTACGGTCATTTGTTTGCCACTGTCTGATAAAGAAAAAAAGAGCCGCGCATTTGTTAATTATAACACAACAAAACCTCGTAGAGAAATGTCTGAAATAAAACTGTCATTTAGTCAGACAAAACTCCTGAGCTGCTGAAGAGAAAACACTGCATTGATTCTTTACGTTAAAAGCCTGACTATAAACATGTTTTAATTAAAGTTTTTACGTTTTATTTTATGATAAACTACCACATCAGGGATTAAACCAATAGATAAATAAACACCAAAAATCTCTGCTTAGTCAGGTAAACGTATTATCAATTTCGAGGATCAGACGTTTCGGCCCAAATTAAACACCACTTCACCGATACGTCACTGATCCTGAACATTTTTTAACGACCTCATGCGCGGCTTGAGAATGTGCAATGACGTAAAACCAGTTAACCCTGTTACTTTAAAAAAGGAGCGGCTATGGAATAAAACTAACTTCCATGTGAAAATATCACACCGGCAGCTTTATAACATGTTTTCTTATAAGACATTATTCCGGGTCGGTATGTATTTAAAACATTTTTATTACAGGCAAAAAGTTGAAGAAAGACTCATTGTTGTGAGTAGCTCACAACAAACCCCAAGCATCAAAATGGCTAAACCTAAACACTTAACTATCTCGTGCATTCCCTCTCCAAAAACTTCCGCAGAGAAAGTAGTGTCCAGAAAACTGGTTGGGCTCAAGTTTGTGAAATGCTACAAAACAAACTTCCGATGAACGTTTCTATACCTCGCACCAACCTTTACATCGGCACACTCCAACTATTTTTAAATGAAGTCACAAAGATTACAAAATGTTATTTCGGCAAACTCTTACCTGATGCGTCGCCTGAACAGTCTGTTCAGGTTGTGATTTGTCGTTCGCGAGTGATTCGTTCAATATGAACGAACCTTTCATATGACTCGTGACTCCCGAGTCATATGAAAGATTCGTAACTCCTGACTACCGAGTCATATGAAATATTCGTTTATATTGAACTCACGATTCCCTCACGAATCACTCTCTGCCAACTAATCACTCTCTGCGAACTAATCTTTCACTGCGAACTAATCACTCATTGCAAACGAATCACTCACTGCGAACGAATCACTCTCTGCGAAGTTCAAAACAGACGCTAAGGGAATTGTACGGAAGCCCAAACGTGCCAAACACGACCACTACGGCTTTCAACCACTTGCAACTTACTACTACTAACAATAAATAATTTAAAAAGTACATTTTCCATATTGACCACAAGTGGGCAGTAGTGTTGTTCAATAACAAATTGTTTTAATATTAACCTTGGCTCACAAACAACAACATATAAATATATATATTTCTTATATTGTTTTCTTATTAATCTTATATTTTGTATAGTATATTGTTAGAGTTTTCTTTAAATAACTGACAATAAAAAATGTAACTAAAACAAATTGTAATATATTTAAATTAAATAAAACATTATATATAGCATTATATTACAGTATGTGATGTAGTTTAATGAGATAATTGCATTTACAGATTTAATAATTGTATTGTATAATAATTAAATCTGTTAATGGTGGAACGATTATTACAATGACTTTAAGGTATAATGTTACCATAGGACTTTTTATCATTAATCGGTAAGCCTAAAAGGTGTTATGTTTGAGTAAAAAAAAAATACATTTAAACTTTTTATTCATCTCATACATTTGAGCAATACATTTAAACTTTTTATTCATCTCATTTTAGGCTACTTAATGCATTTATCTGTTCTAAGCCTTGAGTTACAAAATGTAAATGTAAATGTAAACAGTAAGATTAACAATCACTGTTTAAACTAATTTTACCAGTTTTGCATAGTCGCTCAAAATGTAAACAGTAAGATTTACAATCACTGTTTAAACTAATTTTACCAAACACACACACGCACACAAAACTATTATCTTCAGTGTTTTTGTCCTAAAAGCGTTCAGTTTGCAAATACTGTAGCTCTGAGTGCATTTAGAAAAAAAATCACCTGACCAGGGAGTCAAGCAGGAGGAGGGCATCAACCTCCAGAGCAGTATAATTTTTCTAAGTTTGCCTACCCCACGTTTCGCCTCAGGCTCACAGAATAGAAACGTTGCTTGTATAATCAAATATTTTCCTAAAATTTAAATTTCCTGCACCAAAGTCAATAAAAAATAACATTTTAGCTAAAGGGCATTTGGAGTTATAGGTAGCTCCTAGGTTTATAAGACAATTATATTTCAAAAAGACTTTTAAAAAAGTCACATGATTTGCTGTGATGCCACTATTGCAAACTATACTGTATATGTTTCTTCCCACTGTTGTCCAGGAGAGTCACTTCTGACATGTCAGAATGCTCACTAAAAACAAAAGTAAAACTCATAAATGTATTAGTATGCCAAAGCACTAAATCAGGGGTGTCAAACTCAAATTCACAGAGTCATGAAATTTAAAAACTGGGACGAAGTCGTGGACCAAACTTAATATTTATTGAAAAATTGACTGCAATTCTGCATGTTTTCCCTTCTCTCCAAATATGTAATGTAGAATTTTTTTCATGTGGCAAAAAACATTAGTTTTGTGTAAACATTGAACAACCAAAGGTTAATATATAAACACATAAGAGAAATTAAATTTGAAATATAAGACATCACTAGTATTTGTTTCTTATTATGTTTCTGTAGCCTTTCCAGTTCTTTTTTAATGTAAATCTTTTTTTTTCACCAGCCAACAACAAAAACATCCTCATTCATTCATAGCTCATTCATCACTAATAGTACAAATCCTGCCAGCATACAGGGGTTATAAACTGGTGGGCCAACTCTAGTACACATTTGATCTCGCAGGCTAAATATACAGTAATTACATTGTGGGCCAGATCTGGCCCCCGGGCCTGAGTTTGTGTGCTCAAAATCATAGTGTTCATAGTGCAAAAATAATTACTTCATAGTGACTGTTGAGCCGTCATTTTAATCTAAAGTTATCACTAGCGTCACAGCACTGTGGCTGTTCACACAGAGCCACCGTAAGGTGAAATGTTTGCTCCGACGGGGTGAGTGTCCTGTTGGACAGCAGGAACCCACAGGACACTTACCCTTAAAACAAAACACTCTGACCCCAAGTTCCAGCCATGCCCAACTCCGTTCAATAAGAGCACGTGTATCGCTGCCAAAGGTGCAACAACAAACCACAGAGGACTAGGAGCCTGGGTGACAGACACCGGACTGACTGACTGACTGACTGAGGCTCAGATCTGATTCACAGCTGAAGAGGAATATTTTCCATGAGTAGGTAGAACGGTTTGGGTTTGTTTTTTAGAGATAGTTAAATATTCAATGTAGATTCAACGTAGACATTAATATTAAAGTGAATAACTTATTTACTTTGCGTTGACGTTAAACAGCTGATTGGGTAGACTTTGGTTTGTTGGAGTGAGTAGTTTTTTATCTCAAACTTCCTGATGTCTTACTTTTTCTATTACTCATTAAATTTGTAGATTTGTGGTGGAGTTTGGAATACAAGTAAAAACCATCGCTGTGCCTAAGTCTACAGCAACACTCAGGGATCAAACTTTGAATTTTTATGGCTTTGATGCTTTAATAATTACATAATTCATGTTGACATTAGCTGCACAAATTGTCGACAGGAGGCAATGTTAGAAACTGTTTCTATTCTCTTTGAATTGGGCATTAGACGCTGAGCAGTTAACAACTTTTGTACTAAGCAAATGAAGACGAATGGTAATACATTTTAGGTGTTTAGGACAAAGGCTAAAAATGTTTTTATGAGATTGTATATATTTTTGTAGACTTTTACTAACCTTCTACCGGAAAATACATTTGGGTTTTATTTATTGTTTTTTTTTCCACTTTTGTCTTAACCTTAAAAGAAGTATAGTCACAATACGCGTTCTGCTCGTAGATACCTGCAGATGAGACATCATGCCAAGTGGATCAGTGAAACTACAAAGCATTAAAAAGCTGGGACAGGAAAACCACAGCTATGAGGTTTCAGATGACGGTAAATTACTCATGTAGTTAAATCTTCATTTAAACAGTCATGTTAAGTGTCTCTTTTTATAGTATACACTAAATACAATAACCACCACCTGTTTTGTTCCTGTAGATCCATCTGACCCCTACATGTGAGTATTATATTTACTCTACTACTGTATACATCTCAGAAAGTGTTTGTAGGATTTTCGATATTCAAATATTTTGAATATATTATATATTATGAAATATATTAGCTAAAACTTTGCCCTAAAGTAGAAAGAAATAGGCAAGAATAAAACAGAGGGAGATCTAATGAGGTGTTCAAACAAGCTACAACAAAAGCTAAAAAATAGCTAAAACTTTGCCCTAAAGTAGATAGAAATAGGCAAGAATAAAACAGAGGGAAACAAATGTGTACTATTAAAGCTGGGATGAACACATATTTAGTAAAAAAAAAAAAAAAAAGAAGTATAGTCACAATAATCACTGTTTAGTTTTACATCAAAAAATCAGATAGCATTTATGTTGCAAATAATGTCAACCTTAGAGAAGTGTGGCAAAGATAATTTAAAATACGTAGGTTTTAACTCAACATGATAGAACTAAGTTTAAAGCCAGTAGTACAATTTTAGTTAAAATACAGTCATTCAGCGTTACCACAGAATTACCTCCTTAGTGCTACAATAGCTAAAATTAGACAAAACATTTGAGCAAAACAGTAGGCAAAAATTAACATATTTTAAATGTGCTATAATGATGATAATTTGTTTGCACAGCACATACTATAGCTATAATTCCATCATATGTTATAGTTCCTGCAGATCAAGACTTTTTCCAAAAATTATTCACAATGCTAAAAATGTGGGAATTGCCATTTCAACAAGTTAGACAAATGTCAACTAATAGTTATTTTAAAACTGAAAAGCTTTTTCCATCAAGTCTGCAAAATAACAAAAACTGCGGCCCCTGTAATAATTCAAACCAGAGCTCATTTAAATACTTGATGTGTTCTCTGGTCGGACTCTAAGAACTTATTCACAGGATGTTTGTGATTTGAGTAAGAAACACTCAATATCTTATCTGTGTAGAGGACAATGAACTCGGGTGATTAAAATAGTCAGATAAAGGTTTGTTCAGTTGTAGATAAAGATAATGATTTACCTTTTAGCCAAATAGCTAAAACCCTCCTATCCCAAGGTACACATACTGTACAGGTGAAGTAGTTTTATTTCCTGAGTATCACGTTTAAGTATAGTAGTTAACAGCATTTTCTCTTGTATTCCCTTCAGGACAATGACCAAGACTAAGAAGGATGAAAAGTGAGTGTAAAAATGAACCAGTTCCTTATCATTTTGTTGGCACACCTACCTTATGTATATATATATATATATATATATATGGATTATAAACTAAATCCTGTCCAAACAGGGATCAGAAAACGGCAGAACAGTCGGCTATCAGGGTTGGATTCTTTCAACTGGTAAATATTTGTTTTCACCACGATTTAACAGGGGCATTCACTTTTTAAAAAAAATGTTTATTCAAACATTTTTCAGCTATAGGATTATCTAAAAAGTAGAAGTACAAAATCAATTCAAATAAAACTTCTCCATAGTCTCCAACAAAGTACCAAATGATCCAGCAGAGGTCGCTCTAATCTTATCATCAATACTTACCCATCAGTAAAAACCGTTAGCGACCGTGTTAGGCTATTTTTGTTTTAGTTTTGTTTATTTCTTTATATGTTTACTTTAAACGACCTTTATTCTAACTTGATTGTCGAATGACTTTGTGCTATTTCTGAGCAAATGTTCTAATATACTGTAAGTATAGATATAATTTAATATAGGTTTTGCCGTCCTTATTAGCATTGAGTTTTGGCTTTACTTTTCTGTGGGTTTGATGAAGGCTCAGTCTAGTATTGTTTTATGTTATTTATACTAGATACCTACTTATATTTGTATTTAATTATGTGTATATGTATTTATTAGCTAAGAAACATGCTTTTGAGTGTTTCATAGTGGGGTGGTTAGCACGTCTGCCTTGGAAGCAGGGAGCAGGGTGACATCCAGTTGCAGCCACATACTTAATGGTGCCTCTTGTGGCAAAGACTTACACCACATTTCCATAGACTCAATATTTATTTATTTATTTATTTATTTTAAGCCCTGCACAAGAAGACCAGTACACCTCAGTAAACAAATACAATTTTAAATAAAACTGAAATCCCCTTATATCTCAAAGGGACTTTTTATATTGAACATTAATCTTCTACCTCTCCTAGTTCCGCTTCGCCACGTGTAACCAGGTGCTAATGATGGTGGTGGGCAGTGTTTGTGCCATCCTGCACGGCTCTGCTCAGCCCATGATGTTGCTGGTGTTCGGCCTGCTCACTGACACATTCATCGAATACGACATTGAGCTGAATGAGCTGAGCGACGACCGAAAAGAGTGCGTCAACAACACAATCCAGTGGAAGGAGAACGTCACTGCATCAGTGCAGAACATGTCCCTGTGGAGCTTTGGCAGGAATTCTACAGAGGATCTACTGCCCCCGCTGCTGGGCATGCCGTGCGGGTAAGTGGAGCAACTTCAATTTGGTTGAGACCATGCTTTGTTATTTTGCATTTTTGATAATTCTACTTCATTTACTCTGTGCAGGTTGCTGGACATTGAGTTTGAAATGACCAAATTTGCCTACTATTATGTTGGAATCGCAGCTGCTGTCTTCCTGTTGGGATACTTACAGGTTTGTATATAAAAAGAACATGTGTATTACTATACAGTATTGGTGTAGTAAAGTTAACAAGCGTCCTCGGGCTTAAAATAAAATGTAACTAAAATTAATTACTATTAATTGGGGACCACCACCATAGTAGTACATTTATAAGTAAAGATATGCTCTTATTAAACGTGTTTGTTTCTAATTTTGCATGTTTTTTCTTTCAAAAAATTTGATAACTGATATAAACTTTTTTTAAACTCTTTTTGAGTTAACAGCCAGCTCTGTTTTTTATCAAGTGCCATTATGGCTTTTTTAACCCATTTTAGCCATTACTACAGAGCCCCTAAAGGGACATGGGGAAAAAAAGAAAAGAAGCGTATCTTGTGAGCACGAGATACTTTCTCGTGAGCACGAGAAAGTATATCTAAGGCATTTTGCCACACATACATACAGGGTAATACATTAAAAAAACAAAACAATCATGTTGTAAATCATGTACAGTACGTACATAAAACTTTCTCATGCGCACGAGATATGTTTCTTTTTTTTTTTCCCCATGTCCCTTTAGGGGCTCCGTACACACTACATTTGTGAAACCCATTTAAAAAAAATCTAAAGTCAGCAAATTTAGTCTTATTAAAAAAGAAATCAGACTAGAAAAAGCTCCTCTGGAGCCGCAGAAAGAGCTACACAAACAGATTCTGTTCTACGCCTTGACTGTACGACTCAATACCACATTTGAAATAAGCTGAGCCTATAATATTTGACAACCCTAACCTTTGACCCAGTCATACTTGTAAATTTGCCTTACACAACCGACAGATCTCACTGTGGGTGACGGCGGCTGCCAAACAGATCCAGCTGATCAGGAAAATGTACTTCAGTAAAGTGATGAGGATGGAGATCGGCTGGTTCGACTGCACGTCTGTGGGTGAACTGAACACTCGCATGTCAGAGTGAGTAGATTAATGGACTCCTGTTTGATGTGGTGTTGCTGGAGTGTTCTGTTTAATATCACTACTCTCTGCATCACAGCGATATCAATAAGATCAATGACGCAATAGCAGACCAGGTGGCCATTTTCCTGCAGCGTTTCACCACTTTCGTGTGTGGCTTCTGCATTGGATTCGTTAAAGGGTGGAAGCTTACATTAGTCATTGTTGCAGCCAGTCCTCTCATCGGTGTAGGTGCTGGTTTGATGGCCTTGGTAAGTCTTGATCTCTCCCCCACTCTGTCGCCTTTTTTCTCTCTCTGCTAACTTGCTGTTTTTCTGGGTTTTATTGTTGAACCCAGTTTGTAGCAAAGCTGACAGGCATGGAGCTGCAGGCGTACGCTAAGGCCGGAGCTGTGGCCGATGAGGTCCTCTCCTCCATCAGGACAGTGGCTGCTTTTGGTGGTGAGAACAAAGAAGTGCAAAGGTAAAGTATGAATTGAACTTTTTCCCTCTTGAATTTCAGCATATTTAAGGACATTCAAACCTAAAAACCCTTGTCTTCTACAGCAGTGCAGTACTGCAAAAATACAAAGTACTATAATTACAGAGCAATACTCAGCCTTGTGTCTAGTAAATGACGTTACATAAGAAGTATCACCATGGCTCGGTGGTTAAGGAACCAGAGTTGTGGTAGGTTTCTCAGCTCCTCTTGTTCCTCACAGATATGACAGGAACTTGGTGTCAGCACAGCGCTGGGGCATCAGGAAGGGTCTGATCATGGGCTTTTTCACTGGATACATGTGGCTCATCATTTTTCTGTGCTATGGTCTGGCCTTCTGGTACGGTTCAACTCTGGTGGTAGACACAGAGGAGTACTCACCAGGGACTCTACTCCAGGTATCAAAGAGACAATAAAACATTTTAATTTACTCACTGCTGTCCAAACACAACCAATTCAGATTACACATACAGTACAAGGTTTCTCTTTCACTTATTTTCATTCCAGGTGTTCTTTGGGGTTTTGATTGCCGCAATGAATCTGGGGCAGGCCTCCCCGTGCCTGGAGGCATTTGCTGCTGGTCGTGGAGCTGCTACCATCATCTTTGAGACCATTGACAGAGTACTAAACATCTTCTATGTCAAGTTAAAGTTTATTTCCCCTGACCAAACACTATTGTCACATGTGCTAACATCAAAACCATAAACCAACAGGAGCCAGAGATTGACTGTTTATCAGAGGCTGGCTACAAACTGGACAAGGTCAAAGGGGATATTGAGTTCCACAATGTGTCCTTTTACTACCCATCCAGGCCTGAAGTCAAAGTACGCCTTGCTTCTCTAAAGATATCGTTAGAATGAGGAGATTTGAGAGATTTTAATACTGCTATGTCTCTTGAACTCAGACACTGGACCAGCTCAGTGTAGCAGTGAAATCAGGAGAGACCACAGCCTTTGTTGGTCCAAGTGGAGCTGGAAAAAGCACTGCTATTCAGCTCATCCAGCGCTTCTATGACCCAAAGGAAGGCATGGTGAGTTTCAGATGTTTTTTATGTTCCTAAAAGAACATGTGATGCCACAAGAAGACCAGTACACCTCAGTAAACAAATACAATTTTAAATAAAACTGAAATCCCCTTATATCTCAAAGGGACTTTTTATATTGAACATTAATCTTCTACCTCTCCTAGTTCCGCTTCGCCACGTGTAACCAGGTGCTAATGATGGTGGTGGGCAGTGTTTGTGCCATCCTGCACGGCTCTGCTCAGCCCATGATGTTGCTGGTGTTCGGCCTGCTCACTGACACATTCATCGAATACGACATTGAGCTGAATGAGCTGAGCGACGACCGAAAAGAGTGCGTCAACAACACAATCCAGTGGAAGGAGAACGTCACTGCATCAGTGCAGAACATGTCCCTGTGGAGCTTTGGCAGGAATTCTACAGAGGATCTACTGCCCCCGCTGCTGGGCATGCCGTGCGGGTAAGTGGAGCAACTTCAATTTGGTTGAGACCATGCTTTGTTATTTTGCATTTTTGATAATTCTACTTCATTTACTCTGTGCAGGTTGCTGGACATTGAGTTTGAAATGACCAAATTTGCCTACTATTATGTTGGAATCGCAGCTGCTGTCTTCCTGTTGGGATACTTACAGGTTTGTATATAAAAAGAACATGTGTATTACTATACAGTATTGGTGTAGTAAAGTTAACAAGCGTCCTCGGGCTTAAAATAAAATGTAACTAAAATTAATTACTATTAATTGGGGACCACCACCATAGTAGTACATTTATAAGTAAAGATATGCTCTTATTAAACGTGTTTGTTTCTAATTTTGCATGTTTTTTCTTTCAAAAAATTTGATAACTGATATAAACTTTTTTTAAACTCTTTTTGAGTTAACAGCCAGCTCTGTTTTTTATCAAGTGCCATTATGGCTTTTTTAACCCATTTTAGCCATTACTACAGAGCCCCTAAAGGGACATGGGGAAAAAAAGAAAAGAAGCGTATCTCGTGAGCACGAGAAAGTATATCTAAGGCATTTTGCCACACATACATACAGGGTAATACATTAAAAAAACAAAACAATCATGTTGTAAATCATGTACAGTACGTACATAAAACTTTCTCATGCGCACGAGATATGTTTCTTTTTTTTTTTCCCCATGTCCCTTTAGGGGCTCCGTACACACTACATTTGTGAAACCCATTTAAAAAAAATCTAAAGTCAGCAAATTTAGTCTTATTAAAAAAGAAATCAGACTAGAAAAAGCTCCTCTGGAGCCGCAGAAAGAGCTACACAAACAGATTCTGTTCTACGCCTTGACTGTACGACTCAATACCACATTTGAAATAAGCTGAGCCTATAATATTTGACAACCCTAACCTTTGACCCAGTCATACTTGTAAATTTGCCTTACACAACCGACAGATCTCACTGTGGGTGACGGCGGCTGCCAAACAGATCCAGCTGATCAGGAAAATGTACTTCAGTAAAGTGATGAGGATGGAGATCGGCTGGTTCGACTGCACGTCTGTGGGTGAACTGAACACTCGCATGTCAGAGTGAGTAGATTAATGGACTCCTGTTTGATGTGGTGTTGCTGGAGTGTTCTGTTTAATATCACTACTCTCTGCATCACAGCGATATCAATAAGATCAATGACGCAATAGCAGACCAGGTGGCCATTTTCCTGCAGCGTTTCACCACTTTCGTGTGTGGCTTCTGCATTGGATTCGTTAAAGGGTGGAAGCTTACATTAGTCATTGTTGCAGCCAGTCCTCTCATCGGTGTAGGTGCTGGTTTGATGGCCTTGGTAAGTCTTGATCTCTCCCCCACTCTGTCGCCTTTTTTCTCTCTCTGCTAACTTGCTGTTTTTCTGGGTTTTATTGTTGAACCCAGTTTGTAGCAAAGCTGACAGGCATGGAGCTGCAGGCGTACGCTAAGGCCGGAGCTGTGGCCGATGAGGTCCTCTCCTCCATCAGGACAGTGGCTGCTTTTGGTGGTGAGAACAAAGAAGTGCAAAGGTAAAGTATGAATTGAACTTTTTCCCTCTTGAATTTCAGCATATTTAAGGACATTCAAACCTAAAAACCCTTGTCTTCTACAGCAGTGCAGTACTGCAAAAATACAAAGTACTATAATTACAGAGCAATACTCAGCCTTGTGTCTAGTAAATGACGTTACATAAGAAGTATCACCATGGCTCGGTGGTTAAGGAACCAGAGTTGTGGTAGGTTTCTCAGCTCCTCTTGTTCCTCACAGATATGACAGGAACTTGGTGTCAGCACAGCGCTGGGGCATCAGGAAGGGTCTGATCATGGGCTTTTTCACTGGATACATGTGGCTCATCATTTTTCTGTGCTATGGTCTGGCCTTCTGGTACGGTTCAACTCTGGTGGTAGACACAGAGGAGTACTCACCAGGGACTCTACTCCAGGTATCAAAGAGACAATAAAACATTTTAATTTACTCACTGCTGTCCAAACACAACCAATTCAGATTACACATACAGTACAAGGTTTCTCTTTCACTTATTTTCATTCCAGGTGTTCTTTGGGGTTTTGATTGCCGCAATGAATCTGGGGCAGGCCTCCCCGTGCCTGGAGGCATTTGCTGCTGGTCGTGGAGCTGCTACCATCATCTTTGAGACCATTGACAGAGTACTAAACATCTTCTATGTCAAGTTAAAGTTTATTTCCCCTGACCAAACACTATTGTCACATGTGCTAACATCAAAACCATAAACCAACAGGAGCCAGAGATTGACTGTTTATCAGAGGCTGGCTACAAACTGGACAAGGTCAAAGGGGATATTGAGTTCCACAATGTGTCCTTTTACTACCCATCCAGGCCTGAAGTCAAAGTACGCCTTGCTTCTCTAAAGATATCGTTAGAATGAGGAGATTTGAGAGATTTTAATACTGCTATGTCTCTTGAACTCAGACACTGGACCAGCTCAGTGTAGCAGTGAAATCAGGAGAGACCACAGCCTTTGTTGGTCCAAGTGGAGCTGGAAAAAGCACTGCTATTCAGCTCATCCAGCGCTTCTATGACCCAAAGGAAGGCATGGTGAGTTTCAGATGTTTTTTATGTTCCTAAAAGAACATGTGATGCTCTTGTCATATACAGTAGTTTATTTCCCTACCATGGACTACTCTAACACTCAGCAGGAGTTTTGTCCTTCTCTTCAGGCCAGTTATAACAGCACAATAAAAAAAAACCTTCTCACAGTGTTATGAAAGAATATGAGAATCTTTTCTGTTATTCAGCAAATGACCTCTAACATCATGGTTCCTCACTGACACTGAAAATAGAGAATTAGAGTTTTTCTTTCAGCCTTGAAAGAAGATGAGCTGCTTTGGCAGATAGATAGATGGATAGATAGATGGATAAACTCACTTTATAGATTTAGCTTAATTTTAAAAACTAACTTCAACTTTTAGCATTACCTAATGGCTTGCTGCACAGCTAATGAAGGTTAACGCCTAGTTTATATTTAATCTAAATTAAAGATGGACCAAATGATAAGAAACCCAAAAGCCTGCCATTTAAAGCGCTACTGCCAACAATTCTCTAAAGTCAAGTCGTTGGAAAGCTTTGCATCTTCTGTTTCAGTAAATGAAGGTGCCTGCTGTGGTTTATTTGTCAGGTGACCTTGGACGGCCATGACATAAGAGGCCTAAACATCCAGTGGCTGCGCTCTCTGATTGGTATTGTAGAGCAGGAACCTGTGCTGTTCGCCACTACCATAGCTGAGAACATACGTTATGGTCGACCTGGTGTGTCCTTCGAGGACATTATCAAAGCAGCCAAGGAGGCAAACGCTTACAACTTTATCATGGATCTGCCTCAGGTCTCTTCTTTTTTGCAACATTTATCTGACATTGTCAAGTGACAATAGGATTTACGTTTCATCATGTTATGGTCTGAATCTTTACAGAAATTTGACACTCTGGTTGGTGAAGGGGGAGGACAGATGAGTGGAGGTCAGAAGCAGCGAATTGCCATTGCTCGAGCCCTTGTCAGAAATCCTCGAATCCTGCTCCTGGATATGGCGACATCTGCCCTTGATAACGAAAGCGAGGCTATGGTTCAAGAGGCCTTGGATAAAGTAAGCTTTAAATGCAAACCTCAAGCTTGTTTCTCCTGGCTTAATTTTTTTGGTTTGTTTCATTTATTTAAATACCAAGAAATTGTTGGGGTTTTTTCTTACCTTTTTGGTACAAATTATACACATAGTTGCATCCATTGGAAGTGGCTGAGCTAAAAACACTATAATTATTATATTATTACTATAATTAATTGGTAATTGTTGATCCATATTTTGAGCCTGACTCAGACTGACACATAAATTGTTAGAGAGCTAAATTGTAAGAGAGCTAGCTGGATGTTTCTATAACCAGCTGGCTTTAGCGCACTACACAACAACAAAAAAACAACAACAAAACATTGGACTTTTCAAACCATCCATTTAAAGTATTTCTGTTCTGTAGCTATGACATACTGTCATTTAAAGGCAGATGGTTTCTACTAGGTTCGCATGGGTCGGACCACCATCTCTATTGCCCACCGTCTCTCCACCATTAAGAATGCTGATGTGATTGTTGGCTATGAACATGGTCGAGCAGTGGAAAGGGGCAAACACAACGAGCTGCTGGAGAGGAAGGGAGTTTACTTCACCCTCGTGACCTTGCAGAGTCAAGGAGACAAGGCCCTAAACGAAAAAGCTAAACAAAGTAGGTACAGTGTTAATGCTTAAGGAAAATTATATTATAAAAACTCAACAGTAGGTACTTTTCCAAAGACTAAGTCACATAAAAAAGAGATAAAGCAAACATACATGTGTAGAGCTTTTCCAAAGACTAGGTCAGATAAAAAAGCTGGGCATTAACCAGGAAGTACAGGAATAGCTTGAATATTATTATAGACAGAGATAAAGCAAACATACATGTGTAGATGAGCTATTTAAAACTTAGCATAAAAATAATGTATTTTGCATAATGACTCATTAATTCAAGATACTACTGTACATGAGAATGCATGCATACAACTGTTAATGGATCTGCCGCTTGTCCAATAGTGGCTGACAAGGAAGAAGAACTAGTGAAACCAAATCTGTCCAGAGCGGGAAGCTACCGCGCCAGTTTGAGGTATTGACCCCAATACACATTTAGACTCAGCACTTAAGGGAAGATTATTGTAAAAATGGCTAATGTCTATGTGAAGGCCCACATTTTCATTTCCTGTATTACCTTGATTTGTTTATTTTGACACTCTGGACCTAAGCTTACTGTATTATCAAAAGCCACACTGAGTGCATTTCCATTGTAGGAACAATATAAGTATCAACACCAGGAAACATTTGCATTTTCCTCACAGGAACTTGTAGCAACTACCACTGGTTACAAATAACAAGTGATTATGTGCGTTATTATTGCAGGTTGGTAACTAGTACTGCTAAAACTGTACATGTGCTTTTCCTTATGACCCTAAAAGGTCTACTGTGTGCTTCTAAGAGCTTGTTCAATAGTTGGACTCTACTGTCCAGAATTTAATACGCAAGATAAATTAGCACAAGGAACTTGTGAACACACACCAGTGCTACACAAGCGCCGTCTAGTGGTACGCGGGGAAAATTCAGATTTTCACATTTACATTTTCAATTGAATCAATCTGAAACATACCATGCACAATTAATACAACATTTAAACATAAACATCTGTCTAAACATCTCTCCTGTGGTGGAGGCTAACAGTGAAGGCCTCTGCTGCTGTATTCTAATGTTGGTCATCATGGTGCTACTCACAGAGATCAGGGTTTTCTCAGGTGGTACAGAGTAGAAAAAGTTGGAGAAACACTGGTATAGATTATACTGTCTCAAATATTATAATATAGAATATGAGACAGTACCAGGAACTCTGTGCAAGTACTTCCAAGAACTCCCACATGTTACAGATCCTCAATCCGCCAGCGCTCCAGGTCCCAGCTGTCCAACCTCATACCTGAGTCCTCAGTCTCCATTGTAGGAGAGCTTGGTCCTAGGGCCTACTCCGTCTCCAAGGCAGACAAAGTGTGTGAAAACATTTCTATACTTTTCTATGTAAATGTTGTTTTTCGGATATTTAAAACTTTTTTTTAAAATGTTAGAATGCAATTCCAGAGGAGGAGGAGGAGGAACCTGTAGAGCCGGCTCCCGTTACTCGGATCTTGAAGTACAACTTACCAGAATGGCCCTACATGCTCTTTGGTACCTTTGGAGCTGCAATAAACGGAGGAGTGAACCCAGTCTATTCACTGCTCTTCAGTCAAATCCTGGCCGTAAGTTTTCTTTTCTATTCTTGAATAAACTTTACATTGTGTAAAAAAGGGACTGAACATAGTTTCTCCTCAATGGACGCAGCAAAGGTAAAGGATGTTTGAAGGGTTAGCCATACATAAATCATAAGGTAGATCAAACTAACTCAACAGATGTCTAAAATAGGAAACTAAACATCAAAACCACAGGGGCAGGTCCAATTTTCTGGGGGCTTGGGTTAGGGGGGCACAGAGTGTAATAACAATTAATCTGAGGGTGCTGCCCAGAAGTAACAAAAATGAAAGCAGCCACTGATCGTCGACTTCAATATCTATATTGAACAACAACACGCTGTTAATGTTTTCATCTTGGTTCCCTTGGCCATATTAAAGGTGCAAGTTGTACTCTAACCACGTGCTAACACACAAGACTAGGATGTTTGCTGTACATAGTTAGTTAGTCAAGTGCTTTTTCACAATAAAAACAACAATATCTTACACTCTTAATCAGTTGTTGCAGCAGAACTACTGAGCGCTGAAGGCTCTGGTCCTACCCTGTTCATGCTGAGTGCGAGGAAAGGTCTCTAGGATGGGTTGTGCAAGCTCTGGTTTGAGAAATGTCTGAAAAAATAAAAAAATAGATTCTAGATGAGTCTGTGGAAATTAATACCCGTGATCAACACTGACATTTGAAGACAAAAATATGCGTTTGTTCTTGTTTAGATTCTGGGATTTTTAGGAGAAGAATGGGAAGAAGAATTAAGTTCATTTTAAATGATGTTTAACACCATCCTTACAATTCAAGATAGCAGCCATTGTATTGCTTACTGCTAAGGCCTTCAGACAGATGTGGATAATGTATCAATACCTCAAATAGTCTTTGGGGATCCTGAACTACTCGTTTCTTTTGTGCATGTTTCTTTAGACCTTTTCAGTCACCGATCCTGTGGCTCAGAAGAGGGAAATCGACAGCATCTGCCTGTTTTTTGTTGTTGTTGGCGTGGTATCGTTCTTCACCCAGATGCTCCAGGTAAAATCACAGCAGGTCACGCATCAGGTCTAATTTAATCAGACAGCGGTGGTGCTGATTCCAATGTACTTACTGTCTTTTCTCTCCAGGGTTATGCATTCTCCAAATCTGGTGAGCTGCTTACCCGCAGGTTGCGGCGCCTCGGCTTCCATGCCATGCTGGGTCAGGAGGTTGGGTGGTTTGATGACCATAGGAACAGCCCCGGAGCTCTGACTACACGTCTGGCTACTGATGCCTCACAGGTTCAAGGGGTGAGCTGTTGCCAGTTTGAATTGTAGAGCCCTAATTCAAAAAAAAAAAAAAAAATCTTCAAGACCTTTTGGGAGTGGAAGGAATCAGTTAGAAATCTGTGACAAATCTATTTGCTTTGGGCAAATCCATGAAAAAGAAAAATGCTATCATTAGGATTAAATGTACACTTTAATTGTGCAGCTATAGATTGAGTATTGAAAAATAGCATCACTCACACTGACAACAGTGTCAAGTCTGGTGAAGACCGTGACAGAAAAGATAAAGAAGAACATGAACTAGTGAAGAATCTGAACAATAATTGCTGTGTGTGTGTGTTGGGGGGTGGGGGGTTGATTGAGTGAGGGAGTGATATTCGTGTGTAATGTTTACCCTAGAGGGAATGAAGACATGGTCACATATTTTTTAACATTTTAAATGAATACTTCTCATTTTCATAACATTGCTTAGGCAGAAAATGACTGATTACCTGCCTACTTTGGGCCTCAGGGGACAGACTCTGCGTAGAAATGACTATATATTTATATATTAATTATATATAACTAGAGGTCAAAATGATGTCATCTAATATGTTCTAAACTTCAGATGGAGCCTTGCTTAGATTTTAGGGCTTTTTGTCAAAGTGGTAAGGAGTCATATGTAGCATCAAGCTTTTAATATCATTATCATTCAGTAGTTCAGCAGCCTGTTTTGGTTCATCTACAGTTGATGCATTAATAAATGCAGTTCCATAACAGTCGTATACCAGTTAAAGTTTATTTTGTACTTCCCAAAATATTCCCTATAAAATGGGTTAAACTGGAAGAAACACTGAACATTGGGGAAGTCAATAGTTTCCTTCTGCCTGCATTAAGGCAATATTGTTAACATGTACAAAAAGAAATCTTTTAGACAAGATGTAAAACCCTACAGCACCTTCAATGCATTTTCCAACCCTATACTTCGATTAAAATGATGAAATGCTGTCCTTGAATCAAATAAACCAGTCTTGATATTCAGCTATCAGTTGGTTGTTAGTTGTTTAAACTAGTGCCATGTCTGCTATGATGTGCTACGAAAAGCGTTATCTGCGTGTTCATTTTAAAATGAATGTACTGCATTTTCAACACTACTGTATATGATTCTGTTTTGATTCAATTAAATGTTAATTATCAAATTATAAAATGCTTTTTAAGCTGAATTTCTGTTTGTGAGCTGTACTTTACACAAACAAAACCAAGCCGCTTCTTCACAGTCACTAAACCTCTTTGTAACTTTCTCATACTTTCAGGCCACAGGTTCACAGATCGGCATGATCGTGAACTCCCTCACCAACATCGGCGTGGCAGTCATCATGTCCTTCTATTTCAGCTGGAAGCTGACGCTGCTCATCCTTTGCTTCCTGCCCTTTATTGCTCTGTCTGGAGGATTTCAGGCTAAAATGCTGACAGGATTTGCCAAACAGGACAAGCAGGCCATGGAAGCTGCTGGACGGGTCAGATAAATATTGTTTTGGTATTACTGCCTGTTGTGTCTGAAATGATTCACCCACAATTTGTATGGCTGCTCAGCTGAGGGCGGTGCCACTGTGTCTGCCCCACATTAAAATTTGATGGGCCACACCAACTATACAACATCACCATTTAAACTCTTCTTCTCCTATAACTGCGCTCATTCTGTTTAAGTGGATTATGTAGCAGCCAGGGTGGGATTAGTTATCTGCAGCAGCGCTAAATCCGATAGAAAATCACAAAACAAAGCTGATCCATTATCCGGATCAAATCCTTCTTTACACAAATTACAGATTCACTGCATTGCATGTCCAATCCAACCAATTTTCTAAATATTCATACAATATTTAGGAAAAACTTATCATCTAAATTATAAGCTGGAAATGTTTTTATTCACTATCTAAATCTTTGGCGTATGCGTAACTGATCTTTGTCAGTGAAACAAAATGAGGAAAAACAATAAAAGAAAACTAAAATTATACTAAAAATGTGGAAGGATGTGAGTGAAATATAGATTTTTTTTAAATGCAAAAAATGCTAAAATTGAAAACAAAATATAACAGAATTTAGATTCAAGGTCAAAGGCAAATAAAAATAATTTAAAAAAACAATAAAGACAACATTTCTAAATATTCTAAGAACAATAAATAAAGATGAATAAAAATAGAAAACTTTCTAAATAATACAAAGTAGTGAGCATAAAATAAAATGTAAATATATTATCAACAAATTTAACAAAAAAGTTAAAAATCAAACAACTAAAAATGAAATGCAACTAATGTCGTTTCCGTTTCAAGTGGTATTAGCTGCACAGCAAAACTAGTCTCACTGCAAGTACTACCTAATGCTCATTAACTAGTCTTTAACTAGTAACTAGTCCTAAACCTTAAGATGGAGGTTAAGATCTCAAATTAACTAAGTAAATTCAGGTGCAAAGCCATTACAACTACACTATGCTGATCACATGACAACATAGTACTGCAGGTGTTAGTTCAGGATATGGTCTGAAAATTGTAAAAAAAAAAAATAATAAAATTAATAGTCAAAGTCGGTTGCTTACGTCTTTGGCTTGTATGTAAGTGAACCATGTGACCTAATGTACACAGAGTGAGTGATTGTGACGCCATGTTCTTCCTTCACAGATCTCTGGTGAGGCTCTGAACAACATCCGCACCATCGCAGGTCTGGGGAAAGAGAAGAGTTTTGTGGACATGTACAATGCCCAACTAGATGCTCCATTCCAGGCTGCCTTAAAGAAAGCTAACGTGTATGGAGGCTGCTATGGTTTTGCCCAGTGTGTGGTCTTTTTGACCAACGCTGCCTCCTACAGGTTTGGTGGATATTTGGTGCGACAGGAAGGGCTACATTTTAGCCTGGTGTTTAGGTGAGGCTGAAATCCAGATAATTCTTGTGACAAAATGTTGCTGTTTACGTTCAAATATGTAAAAGCTTCTCTTAAACTCTGTCAGTTGATAAAATACATTATTTTACAGACTATTTTTGTTGCCTAGAACTTGTTTGCCAGGATTTATGCTGTTCACATTCCAAAGCTGTTTTCTTCTTTGCAGGGTAATCTCAGCCATTGTCACCAGTGGAACGGCACTTGGCAGAGCCTCATCCTACACACCTGACTACGCCAAGGCCAAGATTTCAGCTGCACGCTTCTTCCAGTTGCTGGACCGCGTGCCTCAGATTAGTGTCTACAGTGACAAGGGAGAAAAATGGGTATGGTGGGAAAATTGTATATCATATTGATATTATACAGTACTCTATCAATTTTTTTAAATTAACATTTAACATGCAAATATTCATGGTGCTGGTTCCCTTTATTTTGCTTTTATTTCTTCTGTAGTGATTACAAATGTACATCCCTCTGTTCCAATTGTAGTGACCTGATGTTAAGCATGTAACAGCACAGTGTTGCTGCTTAAAAAAACTTAATAGAATTGCAGTAATTTGTAATATAGGATATCGCAAAACAGTATATAAATAGCACAGCTGAAAGTATAAATATAATCTTTCTGACATTTCTAATCTGGTGAATCACATTGAATCTGTGAATATATCATAATCATGGGAACTATTTATATGGGGAAATATTAAGAAAAACAGTATAACCTTTTTTCATAGAGTTGTTAAAGTACTGTGCACCTTGATGGTGGCTAAATAGGAAAACCACGTCTTGTTATTGTAAGACTCTTGAAGCATTCAAGAGGCAGAGAAAAAAAATCTGATTTCCAGAAAGAGAAGGAAGATTTATCTCCTGATACTTCACAAATTGCCCAGTTAACCATAGCTAGCTAAAACTTAGCCAAAGGTTAGCTTTAACCAGATCACAAAATTGGTATTCCCTAATTGAAGGGGAGGGGATTCCTGCTCCTCACTCACCTGAAACTCCTCTAAAAGGAGAAATACATTTGTTTTAATGTGTTTGTTTGGTGTAGAGCTTGAACTGACATAGAAGCTGCATGAACCAAAAGGTGTAGTACTTCCTTTTTAAATGAAGATGGCATTATAACACTGTAACTACCCTCTCTCCTCCTGTTTCTCCCAATCCCATTTGTTTACAGGACAACTTTCAGGGAAACCTGGAGTTCATTGACTGTAAGTTCACGTACCCGACCAGACCAGACATCCAGGTTCTTAACGGACTGAACGTGGGGGTCAAACCAGGCCAGACGCTGGCTTTCGTGGGTAGCAGTGGCTGTGGGAAGAGCACCAGCGTACAGCTGCTAGAACGGTTTTATGATCCTGACCACGGCAGAGTGGTGATTACCACAACATGCACGACACACACAGAGGGAATCAAAAGATGAAATGTTAGCTATAAATTTGACTGTGTAGCCTAAATACCTCGGCCTGCCAAAAACATCTTCCAAATGTCAAACGTTAGTCCAGAAACAGCCAGACATTAGCATCAAAGAAATTAGCTTCATGTTAGCTCAACAATAAGAAGTCTGACCAAAAAATGATTAATATTAGCCCTGCAACTGCTCTTACCTAAGAGGTAAAGAAAAGCCTTCTTATAATAATAATAATAATAATAAAGAATAACTAATTATTATCTTATTAATGCTAATTTATGTAATGAAAATGTTGGCCAAACAAATAATCCATTCCAGTCCTATGATTGGTCCTTGAGCCAAGCTTTAAACATACCTGCTTTAGGGGCTTGAACACTGACAGATTTGAAAAACCTATTTACCTTTTTACTAATCTCAATCCAATTATGCAGATGTATTTTATTATCCTTTAAATGTAAAGCTTTTAAACACGGCACGGCCTTAAGTACAAACATGTCTTTTGCCAATAATTCTTCTCAAATGTCCCACACTTGACCACAAGGGTGTAATGAGTAATTTGTCAATGTCCCAGAATAATTACAGGACACATGAGGACTGAAGTGCTGTTCTTGTTCTCCGGTCATTTTGTCTCACACATCATTGTTTCGCAGGACATTTCTGCTGACTTTGCCCTGTGTTTAGAATAAATGAGATTCTGGGCAGGACAGGGGTTTGACGTCGTGCCAGTGAGGGCGACTTGCCAAATTCAAACTGATCTAATTGAGCTGGAAGTGGTTTAGAAACACATCCACCTCATTTTCTGTCTCTAAGAGTTTTTAAAGGGACAGTAATACAGGGTTATTGCAGAAAGTTCAGTAAATTCTGGCCTAAGTATTTAGTTATTCATTTGGGTAGTAATGAGCAATGTTAGGTTAGAAATCTAACATTCAGTTAGGTACAAAAACTAACCCACATACATGTTGTTGTTCTCAAAAGTCCAAACCAGTCTGTGACTTAATTCTTAGTTATGTAAATATTTCTACACACACCATGTTATTATTTTTTAGGTTGATCCCACATTTCTGTCTCAGAGAAATTGTATTCTATATAGATGTATCATCACCACATACTTTTTTGATATTTAATATTTTAACTTTATGTGCCCATGACTAACTACAGTATGTATTATTTCAGAAAATAACACATTCTGACAGGGCCTAAAATTGCACTCTACTGTACATTAATTTGCTAGGTTTTTAGCAATTTGTGAGCCAATCCTGAGCAATTTAGCTACAATATTTACAACTTTTACATTTGGATAAGTTTGTTCTGAGAATGGAAACTTTTTTATTCTATCTTTTGGCCACATTTAACCCTTCTGGAACCATCTCTGTTTTCTTTAAGCTATTTGGGGAACATTTTTAAATGACTTTATTCCTCTCCTCGTTTGCTTTAATATAACTACTTATGTAATAAACTGTATTTACAAACTGATTTATTCATATTTTATTATAAATGTTATTTGTATTTTACATTCAGCTGGTTTGCACTAACCTACAATATGTATTTGTGAAACTATAAATAAAATGTTTTGTTAAATTTTATCTTAGCTCCACAACAATCTTTTAGCTTAAACAACTCAACTAACTCAAGCTATTTTTAAATACCTTTTACTGATTTACAGAGCAGTTTTTAACATTGAATTCATATTGCCTGACATTAAATATGTTATTGATATTGAGATCAGTCTAAATGGTTGTTTTCCAGTATTTTCATGTTATGTTTATGTGATGAAAAGAATGTTTCATCTTTTGCAGCTGATAGATGGCCATGATTCAACTCGTGTCAACGTGTCCTTCCTGCGCTCCAAAATCGGAATCGTGTCTCAGGAGCCTATACTTTTTGACTGTAGCATCGCAGAGAACATCAAGTATGGAGACAACTCCCGTGAAATTAGCATGAACGATGTCATCGCAGCTGCCAAGAAGGCCCAGCTGCACAGCTTCGTCATGGCCCTGCCTGAGGTACTATACACAGAAGAAGCAGATATAAATTGTACATAGTTTTATAAATGAACCGAAGCAGAGTCGGAGAAGGTTAAAAGGTCACTACTTTAAATATTTATTTCACAAGAATAAATGAACAAACGTCTAATCTGGAAAGACTGCTCCATTACACAACAGCCTAAAGAACAGAAACAAAGTGCTGTATGTTAACCTTATAGGCTGACAAGTATAACGGGTTCCTGAAACGAATGTTCCTTCCCTCCACCTCAGAAATACAACACCAACGTTGGTGCTCAGGGCTCACAGTTGTCTCGAGGTCAAAAGCAGCGCATTGCCATCGCCAGGGCCATCATTCGTGACCCCAAGATCTTGCTACTGGACGAGGCCACCTCAGCTCTGGACACTGAGAGCGAGAAGGTAAACCCAGGGGCGCAGATAACATTTTTGAATTGGGGGGAGGGGGCTGGCTGTCAGCGATACCACTATACAATATCAATAATTTACAATTTATAAAAATTATAATTTTAATAATAAAAGTATTTAATTATTTTTTAATTATTAAAAAATAATTCCTTCTTAAAATATTTTTTAATCTCTTAAAAATAATTTTCTTTCTTAAAATATTTTTTAAGAAATATATGTGTATATATACATATATATTTCTATTCCTACAGTTTTATTTATATTTATGTATTTTAAATTTTTTATGGGTGTCCAGGACTTGGCTGTCCATGTTTTGTTCATGTGATTAAGTATAAATCTGTGCTTAAGTTTAACAGGGAAATTTTGACATTTATGTACAACTTAAATGCCCAATTTGTTTTAGTACAGATAATCACAAAAAGCACATTACACCTCTGTTTTATCTGTGATGTTTGTCGGTGATGGGGGGCGGAGGGGGGGAGAAAGGACACGTGTCAGGGTCACTATGAATCAGAGAGGGTGTCGGCCCCCTGGCCCTGGTGCCATCTGCATCTGTGGGTAAATCACCTTAACTTACACGTCCACCACTCCATCATCTAGATGCTCTGCTGGTCCTCTAGTCACAGAAAGTGAGTGGAGCAGCAGGTTAATTATCATCATGGTCATAATCTGTGTTAATATCAGCTGCCACGGTTCTACACCACGGCCTCTCTAAGATGAACAGGGTCTACAGGGCTCACGCTGTGGAGCAAACAGGCCTCTGCTGCTCCGAACCACTCCAACATTCTAATCACAGTCATCAGTGTGCTATCGTAAAATTACTGTAATTGTGATGGAGAACACATGATGGCTGCTGCAGTAGGTATGTGATTACCGAGAGCTAAACTTATCCTCTGTTAATTCAGCACAGAAAACTGGAGAAATTTGTCAAAATCACAGCATAAATAAATAAATGAGAAACACGTTTGCTGGGACGACTACATGTTGAACCCAAAATGTAATCTAAAGTAACGACAACACACACACACACAAAAAAATTGTATTTGCTAAAGAAAACTTTCAGCAGCATATGAAAAAACATTAGTCAAAAGTCGGTAACTAGATTGTAAAGACCTCCCAGTTAGCTACACAAGATTACTATAAGATATCTTCAAATGCCTCAATAATAGCAAATTGACAAAAACTGTCAGAGAAGACAGTTTGAACTTTAGCCCAAAGAAGCTAAAAGTCAGTGAAAGTAAGTTCATGTTTATGATGTCGGTGAAAGTTCAGGGTCCAAAGTAGGACAACGAACCTGAACATTGTTCAAGCAGAGTTGAAGGGAACGCTAAAGATTAGACGAAGGATTCAAAGACTACATCTCAGCCTTTATGGCACATTAATCACGTACTTTAAAGATAACACTCGTCCTTGTGACTCAGTAAAACACTTTTTCTCTCTGATCTTTTGTCAATTTGTTTTGGCCTCAGGTCGTACAGGAAGCCCTGGACAAAGCCAGAGAAGGCCGTACCTGCATTGTCATCGCCCATCGCCTCTCCACCATCCAGAACTCTGACATCATCGCTGTCATGTCCAGGGGCCTCTTGATTGAAAAAGGCAATCATGACCAGCTCATGGCCCTCAAGGGAGCCTACTACAAACTGGTGACCACAGGAGCACCAATCAGCTAACCGCTCCGTCCATTCAACAGGAGACAGAAATGATTACTCTTTTCATGGAAATAAAGTCACGCTACATAAAAGCCGCAAGATAAAATGGAAAATTATAAATTCAAATTCCCTCCATGATAGCGCAAAACACCACGACCATGTGTTTTACATACGTTTTGTGGTTTCAGGGACATCAGAACTGAACAAACCCCATGTCGAAAAGAAGCTGGTGTAGAAGCCACATGGCAGTAGGAAGTCCACTTGAGTATTTAGCATCTCCAGTCTTAATTAAAGCCCTGGCTTTATTTCTGTGAAACAGGTACATTATGAATTCTACATAGTTTTATTCGTACAGTATTTATTTTATCTATCACCAAAACATTTGTGCAGCATAACTGGACCCCTGCCTGCAGGCAGGATGAATAAACAAACTTCTGTTCTGTTCTGGGATGAATTAATGCCACCAAAGGTCTCAAGTGAAAAAATCCAAAAGCCTTACCAGGGGAAAAAAATCTGAAATGAAATATCTTGTTGTCATATTTTTAAATTAAAATATTTTCCAGGTTTCGTAAATCATTAATCACTGCTGTACATGTTTTTATTTCTGGGTCAGACTTAAGTCTGTTCCCATTTTGTGGTACATTTGTAATTCACGTGATTTCTAGGTAAAAACAAAAGTTTTGTGTTTTATTGTTTATAAGTTTATTAATCTAATTCATTGATCTATTTTCCATTACACATCTTAATTTTAAATTAAACTGAAAGTTTTTTTTAATAATTATAATAATTTTTAGTTTAATATTACTATCTATTTTTTTATTTTCCATTACACATCTTCATTTTAAATTAAACTGAAAGTTTTTTTAAGTATTATAATAATTTTTAGTTTAATATTACCATAGGTCCTAGCACCAATGTGTACATGAGGTTTCCATATTAGTGTTGAATAATTTCACAGCTACTTTTTAAGTAATGTATTAGTGTACTGGAATAATTCTAAATAAAGATTGTATTTCTTTGTACAGCCCCAAAAGGCTTTTTATATTGAATATACTGTAAAAAAAAATAAAATAAAAAAGATTGTAATAGACAAGATAAAATACAACATTCTATAAAAAAGGTGTCTGGGTGGTTTTTCTGGGTGAATATAAACACCTTTGATTTTGTTCCTTTTGATGGCAGTCAGACACTGAACTGTACCAGGAAAACAAGTGCTAGTATATGAACAAACTGAATGTAGTAACAGGTCAGATATTGCTTCTTTCATGATGGTACACCAGTGTCTTTAGTCACTATACTGTAGTGCTGTGTTTAACCTTTACGTAAAGATCTTAAATCTTTAAGTATCACAAACCTGCCACACGAGGCAGCAGTTGACCAGCTTCCCTGTTTTACAAACTAGCTTTAATGCCATCAGTGAACTGTGATGTAGTGAAGATGGTACAGACAGTCAATTTAGAGTTTAAAGACGTCAGCTCACATGCTCTAGATCAGCGATCACAAACTGACGGCCCGCAGGCCAGATCTGGCCCCTCAAACCATCCAGTACGGCCCACAACTGGATTACATAATAAACATTGCATAATAATGTCAGACAACAACCCAGGAGGTGTGTGTTCACAACAAGTCCCCGCCTCTGACAAATATAGTTGTTGAGCCCTGCTCTGGATAGTAGATTTGACTTTTTTATATCACTAATCCCATGAGTGATCTGATTTAGTTTGTCACAGCTCTGTGACTGTTGTCTACATTATCCATATTATACATAAAACAATAACTTCTTTTGGATCACTGCTGTTACATTTTACTTCAAAGCGTTTTTATAAACCTAACAGCCAGGTCTGATCTTACAGACCTGCTGATCACACTGTCTGATTAAACTGAGTGTGTCCTGCAGAAGTGCTGAATTTTATTTTCATAGCCTTCGTGGCATCGGGGCAGCTCGTTTCGTTTTATGACCAGAGCCTCATCACAAATAGTTGATGGTTGAGGAAAAGAGAAAAGAGCAGAGGCTTCATAAGCTTCACGCTGCTCCACATCCACTTATCTCCTACTCTGACAGCTGTGTTCTGTTGGCTGCTGCTGCTGCTGCTGCTGCTCTTCTCCCAGTCTGATACAGGAAGGTCTGCTATGAAGCCTGTTGTGACTTTACCAACACCTAAACCTCAACCACAGCTGGTGTGAGAACATAGATGAACTTAGACTCTACTAAAGCTGTGAGGTGTCTATATACTGCAGTCTTTCAGACATCTGCCCCCTGCTGGTTGACTCGCTAAGCATGAAATGTTTTTATCAGCTATTTTGAGGGGAAAAAAAGCTCATTTTGTAGGAAATAAGTAAAATATAATTTGTAATTAATATGCTAGAAAGCCACACAGGTGTCACTGTACTTTTCTCTAAACCAGAGGTGTCAAACATATGACCCGCGGGCCAACACCAGCCCACTAGGGGTTCAATCCGGTCTAAAAATATCCACAAACACTTCACATACATGTTTTATCAAATTATAATTCATTAAATATAAATATTTTCTAATGTACTTATTTGCAGGACAGCAAGGGGGTGGGGGGTGTACTTGTTGTTATTTAAGGTAATTATGTTATAATTGCACTGGTCCAGCCCATCTAATTAGGCCATATGTGGCCCCTGAACCAATATGAGTGTGACACTCTGGTTCTAAACAGAAGGTTCATGCAGAGCCTAATGTTGATCTTGTAGCTTCCAAAATAACAGCCTGAAATAGAACATCTTGTTTGAAAAATAAAAATGTAGCTTTTGTTCTTTTTATTTTCACAGCACATAATAAAGTCTGGGTAGAAAAAAAAATCTCTGTAAATTTAATTCTAACTCTCCTCCTCCTCCTCCTCCTCTCCTGACTCTAATCCTCTTCACTGAAACCCTGCGTGGTTTCACACTCACTCAGATTTATGCAGGGAAGAGGATGTGGAGGCAAAGTCCTGCTGCTCTGTGGTTCCTGAGTTAAATGAGTGAAACACAGAGAGAGCAGCTCCGTCAGTCTCTCCGTCAGGAGAACAGCTTTGACTCCTCTACTCTATAGAAACCATATTCTTCTTCTTCTGCTGCTGCTGCTGCTGCTGCTGTAGTCTGGAGCTGATATTTACACCTGACTGGATGAATACTTGATGTCAGTTACCATCTGCTCCCAGTTCCATGTGGACCTGACTACACTTTTCCCATCGTCATGTGTTTGACTCGCAGGCCTAATTATAGACTCACCACTGCTGAACCACGGTGTGTGAAGACAACACACAGAACATCGTGGATCTACCACTAACAAGATGCTGTGCTAATGACTTAAGGTGATGTAAACTTGAGAATCTTAATCGGTGGAGTCCCGTATGTAGATTTGACATTTACTCCTCATCTGGATATGAACCAAAGTGAGTGTGAAAGCAGCCACATTTAATGATCTAATCCCAGTTGGTCTTGTTAATGCTCTCCTCTCTGCTGCAGCAGGAGAAAAATATTCACAATGACTGACTGACTGACTGACTGACGCTTGCTGATCTGACCTTCTGGTTAGAACAGATGCTGTGTTTAAACATTGAAAAGAAGAACCTTGATCTGCTGCTGCCTCTGCTCCTCATGTTGAACCTCATTTCAGCAGCAGCTTTCTTTTCATACTAGATGCTATTCACCAAGAAGGACAGTCACCTTCATGGGACTGGAGAGCTGTGTTTACTTTGTCTGACTTAATATAACAAAAATAATGTTTTGTTTTTAAATAAAACCAAAGCAAAAATGCTCTGGTAGAATCGTACAGTACATAGAATTAAAACATCTTACTGTGTTTGGTCTGCCCCAAGTATGACTTTAAGTCACTGAAGTCAAGATTTAGGCAGTTATGAAAATGCTGCATTATTGTCAATATATCAAATAAAAAAGTGAGATACTGGTACTGCAACTTGGAGTATCTGCCAATACTGATATCAATCCGATACCTTCTTTTCTCCTTGCACTTGCCACGGGCTGCCATGGCTGAGGTGATAGTGTTTCTGTTCACTTGTTGTGCAAAGGATCAGACAGACTATAGTTGTTTTTTTCATGTTCATTTCTGACATTTTGACCAACACAGGACTACCACTGATCCTCAGTATCAGATCATGCCATCCCTACAAAGAAACAACGACCAACTACCTGTAGAAAATAAATCACACTTCATGATTACTCCTTAAATTTAGAAGGTTTCCAGCAATGCCATCAGTGAGAGGTCTGCGGTCAGATGGTCCAGGTTAAGGAAAGAAGGAAAGGAAAGTGAACTCCTCGTCACTGTGACACAGCTCACCACTGCACACAACCAAATGTGACCTCTGTTTTTAACCTGATGGGTTAAAAAAAAGTGAACAAAGTGAACAGTGGGCAGCTTTAAGGACCAGGGAGCAGTGGGTGGGGACGGTGCCATGATCAGAGCACCTCAGTGGTAACTTGGCAGCTGGTGGACTTGAACCTGAAACCTTCCAGACCCAAGTCCGCTTCCTTAACCACTAAGCCACCACTGCCGCACTGAAAACTGTTTTAACCTGGACCATCTGACCACAGAGCACCCCAAAGGCCATAGCTCTGATCCTGAAACACAGAAAATGGAACCCGTGCTCCAAATCTGAAAACTCATTTGGCTGTGGCAGAAGGCAGTTGTTGGACAGCCCTAGACAGCAGTACATACAATGTGTCTGCAGTGCCACTACAATCAGTGCTGCCAATGGTGAATGTGCAGTAGTCCCAGTGCCAGCACCAGGATAGTGGCAGCGCCACCAGTGCCAATTGGATTAAAGTTTTATTGTTGCAGTACCAGCAACTACATACTGGTACTGTCAGCGTCACCAAAAACCAGTGCCAGGTTCTCTGGTAAAAGTGCAACAGTACTACTGGGAGCAGTGCTAGTACAAGTACCCCACAGATTTTTTTGTAGAAATAGTTTTTGATCGTGTTTGTTATACTGTGTTGCTCATTCACTGTGTGGTGTTTTTAATTAAAATTTTAAAAAGAATGAATGTAGAATATAGAAAAAAAAAAGACCCAGACATTTCAGAGGATTCCATTTGAATTCAGGGTGACCTGATGTCCCAGACATTTCAGAGAAGTCCATTTGAATTCAGGGTGACCTGATGTAGCTAA